TGAAACTGTTAAATGTGCAGAAATCATGCATGTGTGTGTGTGTGTGTGTGTGTGTGTGTGTGTGTGTGTGTGTGTGTGTGTGTTAGTATGGTGTGTGGTTGTGTGTGTGCGGAAAGGAAAATAAAAAGGTTTTTGAAATACGAATTTCAACGCTATACAAAATCATTGCGTTCTATTGACCGCTAGCCATGCCCTGTTTTTCGTTTTTTGCAATTGGGCATGAAGGATGTTCTCACAGTTACACACTTGACACTTTACAACACTTGAAATTCGAAATCGAAACTCGAAACAGAATCACCGCAAAAGCGACGCCGCGACGCTCCTGCGTCGCCTCAACAATTTCAAGGACATTTCGCAAACGATTCATTTCGACTAAAACTGATTTAAAAACTATATATAAATTCATCGATTTTCGGCCCCGCTTTTTTTAATCACATATTTTCTATACCCATCAAATATGACCCTAGCAAAGGTTTGCTATAATTGTAACAATCATGCCAGATATCTTACATTATAATCCGTTTTTGAGTATCGATATATCGATATTTTATTAAAGTTTTACGACTGCGAAGCAACAGCTGATGCCCGTGCTCTTGAATGCAATGAACGCATAAAATAGCAATTAACGGCATTCAATTGCCATGACATGCTGCTTACGCACACACACACGCAACACACACATACACACACACACACACACACACACACACACACACACATGCAGACAAGTGGAGGAGGCAGCGTCATTTGTTGCCAAGCCGGTTTCAGCAGCACTTCGCTTGGCCAGTCACTCGGTCATGAGCACAAAATATCACAACAGCAACAACAACAACAACATCAACTTTAACAGTAACATTCAGCATTTAGAAACAACAACAAAAAAGGGGGCAAAACCAACCAAGTTTCAGTTGTACGGCGAGGAGAAGGGTTGGCAGATACGGGAGGGGGGTTAACGGTTAAAAAGCTCGCCATGGTTTGCTTGAAGGCCGCCAGTCCGACTGACTGACTGAGAGACCAGGCATTGCAATTCAATTTGGACAGTGTTGCCAATATCTCTTGTTTTCTGTGTAATTTGGCGTTTTTGAAATTTGCGAACTCTTTTTCTTTTAACTGGCAGCGGTTTATCTGGGTTAGTTTAAAAAAACAAAAATGCTGGGCAAAACTTAAAAAAGTGAACTTTCAGTTCTTGTATAGGGTATCTTATTGGCCAGTCATAAACAGTACTCAATTATTTGGCGGACTATTTCTGCCAAATGGCACGTTGAATACGGTCATACGTCAAAAAACAACGCGATTTTTAAGTGCATGATGCAGAATTATTTGTTATCATCATGCTTAAAATTGTGTGCAATTTACATATGATATGCTAATCTTTTATGAATTGGAAAATTTTAAAAAGAGTTCACTGCGTAATCGTATTTCCATGTTACGGCAGTCTCCAAGCATATGAGAGAAACGTTTTAGTTTTGCCCGGCCACAAAATATTGCAAATTAATTTGCATTATCAGTAGGTAGGTAAACAATGAGATTTTCGTACATACTGGTTATATGAGATACATGTATCTAAAATGGATAAGTCCAGTTGAAAAATAAAATGTAGCTTTTTCGTGTCCCCTATTCACCTTTTGCTTTTTCCCCCTCTTAAGTTGGCCACACTGCACAGCAACAACAACACAATTACAGATACAACAATAACAGCACGCGAATGTGAAAGTTCTGTGTTGTTGTTGCCACTGTCGATTAAGCTCACTGTTATGTACATGCAATCTAATTACAGAGCTGAAATTCAATAATGAGAAGCTGCCAACGCAGCACGAGCGGGAGGAGAAGAGGGGGGAAGCGAATGTGTCATATTGCGTACATATGTACGCATGCATGTGCGGCTGATGAAATACGTAATTATCGTTACGTCCAAGTAATTCGATAGAAGTGCAACAGGATTCAGATGAATTTATATATACATACATATGCATATGTACATGGGGTTAAAATAGCATGGTAAGCGCGGCACACTCAAACACACATACATATTTACATATGTACGTACGCACGAAAGGCTTAACAATGTGTATATGAATGTGCACACTGAAAATGCTTTTGTTTCCATGCATGCATACATATATATATATATATAGATATATGAATTGCATATATATAAATGCATTTAATATGTATTTAGTACTGACCTTCTCTTTGGACTCCTTCGACGCTTTAAGTTGACGCACGAGTTCGCCTTGTTCTTTAATTTGTTCCAAAATCTGTTCACGCGTATCACTCATATTCCAAATGCCACAGCACTAACGATTCACAACAGTACGACACTACACAAAAATTGGTTTAATTGCGAATTTGCACTGTGTCGTGGCAAAATATATGTAATCGCAAGATTTTCGGTAACTTCGCGCGGGCTGCAATTACTTTATTGTTGGCTGCCAAAAATAATGCACGCGGCCAGCCGTAAGTAACAGGCACGTAAATAACCAGAGTGCGTTAGCGCAGTAAAGAGCAAAGTATGCGCAAAAAGAGCAACGTAACGTAAAGAAAACCAAGAACTCGTAACAAAATATGTAATGTTTCATTTAACTAAAATGAGCCTTAAATTTGATTATTGCAATTTAAAAGTTATCAATAATATAAACAACAATATTGGCAACCGAATTAATTTTGTATGCGAGTGCAGTTGCTAAAAAAAATATTCAAAAAATACCCAATAAGAAAATACTGAAAGCAGCGCCATCTGTACTCTAACAGACGTACCAAAATCTTTTGTGGGGCATTGTTAAACACTAATAATGTTTAAAAATTTTTAAAATCAATTTCAACATGCGTTGCATTTTGTTTCGTTTTGCTTACCTTCAGTTTATATTTTACACTTGGGGAAGTGAAGTAAATACAGAGCAATTTTTAAGAAATTTTACCATAACATTTAATGAACTTTGCCGGCCACAAAGTTCAGCACATAAATAATACCAACAGTAACAACAATAAACATTAAAAACCAAACCACAACCACAAAAATGAAACACAACAAAGCCGCGCAATATCAGCGCAACATAAAAATACAGACATACGATCAGCTGGAATCGGACATGGAGAACGCACACAAAGCTGTTGAACGCAAACTAAACTATTTATCCGAATCCAATCATGTTACGTCCAACTCGCGCGCCATCAGACGACGCGGACAGCGCTCCAGCGAGGGGGGCAGCGGCGGCGGGCACCATCATCGGCGCAAGCATGGCAACAAAAAGTCATCGCAATCCAAAATAAAGGACGACACATCGTCCAATGCGGCGCGCCAAAAGAGCGGCACCGTACACAGTGAGTACCAGCTAGAGCGGATGCAAATGAATATGCTAACAGGTGCTGCAGGTTTTTTACAGTCGCCACGCCGCAACGGCCTGTCGCCGCGCGACCTCATCGAGGAGGAGGAGGATGATGAAGAGGTGAAATTGTCACGCACCATGCGCGGCGCCATGCAGGAGGAATACGAACAGCATCTGGGCCATTCGCATCGACGCAGCCAGCTGAGCATCAAGCACATCAATAAGCCCAGCTACAGCTGCAGCTCGTGCGGCGCCATCTTCCACATCAAGTCGTTGCTTGGCGCGCATCGTCGCACCCACGACGATGACTTCCTGGTGCGCTTCCGTGGCCGTCGCTTGCGTGAGAGCAGCACGGCCTTGACGGCCGTACCGGCTGGCAAACAGTGCAAGTTCTGTGATCGGACCTTCGATTTGGAGCGGGCCCTGCGCATCCATCAGCTGTGCCATTGCAACAAGATCACGCCGCAGCAGCGACGCAAGCTGGGCTACACGGATCTGGCGCACGAGAAGAAGAACGCGCCGTTGCCCAACTTTCAACGGATGGCGAAGGGTGCGCATAACGGCTTGCCGCTGCATACTGTGCCCGATCCGAATATGCCCTATGTGGCACTTGGACCGGCTGCCATAAAGATGATCGAACAGGAGCAGCAGATGAAGGCCAAGCGGCGCACCACCAAGTACACTGTCAAGGTAGCTGGGCCCATGGGACGTTGGCGCTAATGCGTAGGCCGATCAAAAACGATCAAAACAAAAAAAAAAACAAAAAAACAAACTACAAAAAAACAAAACACAACAGAAGACAACATTACACACAAATAAGCTGCAAACACAACAAAACAATACGCGACATAAAACCAAACACAAAAAGACGTTCGCTTTGCAATTGGAGTACTTTGAAATAGTTGGCGTTTAAGTGAACAGTTTGCCTTGCATATACAAATCATATTTTGCATTTGCATGCGCAACAAATTAAAGGCAAATTTTAGTGAGAAACTTTGTGTATGTGTGCGTGCGCGTACCGTTATCGGCAGGCGCCAACATTCAAGCATAAAGGCAATGCAGCTGCCAACTCAGCTGTTTACGACAAGAAACAGAAGCAACAAAGCAGCTGTTCATTAAGCTTAAGTTGAGCTTGAGCAGAACTGCGTATACATATGAAAATACAATATACATGTATATGTATATGTGCATGTGTAGGTGTAGTACAACCCGGCCCGCTGCTTAAACGCAGCTTAAGCATTAGATCAGTGTATATACACATACATAGATTATATACATGCATACATATACATACACATGCATGTATATCCATACACATACAAACACACACGTGTAGCTGTGTTATTATCATCGCTTTTGCTAGTTTCATTTTCGTTTTTTCCCGCAAGCTCACACCGCGACTAATTTAAAAATAGTGAGCGTAACGTCATGAGCGGCTCTCCGATCGTGCCTCTGTGTGCGTGTGTGTGTCTGTGTGTGTGTGTCGGCTGTGTGAGTTTCGCTGACTCTTTCGATAAAGAACAGTTAGTTAGTTAAAAAAGTGCATATACATAATAGCAAAAAAAAACAAATAGAAGAAAGAAAACAGAATACAGAATTGAATCGAGTGGAACTGAAACAAAGTTGTAATGCGGCACCGTGCGATGTCCCAACACATCAGTCGAAGTTTAACGCGACAGGTGCTCAGTTACCAGATCGGCTCCGGCTCCGGCTTCCAACCTCAACTGAGAGTATTCGCGCCTTTCTGAGCGGCTCCTGCAACGCAACATTCGTTTTAAATATTAACATAATTTGTTGTTGTTGGTTTTTTTTTCCCGTTTTTTTTTTTACGTATTTATTTTTGAAGCGAATTCGGTCAATGCTGAAACGTGATAGTTAGTGTTTAATTTGCGAGTAGCTCAGTTGAAACGCAAGGAATCGCACAAAATGAGGTGAGTGTTGTTTATTTGATTTTATTTTATTTTTTTTTGGTTTATCGAATAAGATTCTTGAATTTATGCAATCGAAGCCAGACTTTGTTCAGCTGAGTCATGCATTCTATTAAAACAATGCACAATATATACTCAGATGAAACTATTGTGAAAAGTTTGTTAAGAAACTATAAAAAATTAAAAGAACAAATCAAGTTAACAGATATATAAATATAAATATATGTTTACCCAAGTGAATCATGAGGCTTTTCAAATGTTTAACTGTTTCAATTAATGACATAATTGTGGTAAAGATTAAAAATTAAAGAATTGTGTTGGAACACTTCTCAAAGATCTGCTGATACAATCATAATTAAAACTATTAACAGGTTTTTCATTACGCCATTTAGCGTTAACAAACACGGTCCTAATTGTAAACCCGATTCCTTCTTCGCACTATCTGCAAATACTTCCATATCATGTGTACCAAAAACAACAACAACAACAACAACAATACACAGATGTAGGAAAAGCAAACAGAATTTTGCAATCATAAATTGTGTGTGTACGGTACAAGTACGTATCACAAGTCAATCACAGCCGTGTTGCCATTGAATACCCTGTTATATAAGACTGGAACGGCAAGTCTCGCTCGCCAGGCAATACATCAGCAGAGCCTTCAGCTGTTGCATCCGATAAATGTAGTTTTGTGTAATCTGGAAACTGTTACTGTGTATATAGTATAAGGTATTAGCTTAAGTTATGGCATATTTCATATTGTATATTGGCGGCAAATACAGTGAAAGCTCGCTTGAGCGGACGGACTCAGTTTCAGTTATATATTATGTCCGCTTAAATCGTTCGTTCACACTTTTCCTAGCTCAGTTCGTACTCTGTATGGATTATATATCTCTCTAATCAAGATCTTAAAGTTTTAAGTAAGTTTTAGTAAGGTGTATAAATAATACAAACTGTTGCAGTTCAAATCGGGGTCTTAGTTTCTTCAGTCTGATAAATATCTATTATGAAATATGATAATTATACGTTTATAGGATCAATGCAGATATGTAGCATAAAAAGCTGAAGCATAGCCAAGGTTTTCTAAGTTAGTTACAACTTTTACAGGGTATCGCGCTGTCAATCACATGAAAACCCAGCATTTTTAGTCATTAAAAGTAACATGTACTTAAAATGCTCGCTGAAATGTAAGCGCGATTGGAAATTCCTTTTCCCTAAGTTCTGGACTAACTGGAGAAACAGAGAGTAAGACGGAGTGGAAGAGAGAGAGAGAGAGAGAGAGAGAGAGGTGGGAGGGGGGGGGGGGGGGGTTGGGAGTGAACTTGTATTTTAGCTAAGAATTGCTGTTTAAGCATTTTATCGAAGAACTCGCAGCTTATCGCCTTGCACCTGTCGTAATTTAGCAATTAGGCAGTTTTATGGACCATTATATAAATATACATATATATATATATATAGATATATATGTATAAATATATGTGTGTGGACAAAAGCTTACACTCCGCTTGACATTTACGATATGCTACAAATATTTGCTGAATGGATCATTGCGCCGCTTAGCGGGCAGCTTAATAAAGTCATTTATGGATATAGTATGTGTCCACGATAAGATTAAGATAAGCAAAGCGACAATGTTTATCGTTTTATAATGCCAAAGTAACTTGGCCATAAACTATCAACTGTTGGTTGGTTCCACACACAAATCATATGTGCTGTGCTGCATGAATGGAATTTATATCTGAAGTTTTGTTTAACAAATTCTAGTTCACTTTCACCATAGGCAATAGTTGCGCGCGTATTGCTAGCCGGGCGTGCTTGACTACCAGATGCCCTAGCATGGATATGCTATGCGAGAGCTTCCGGATATGCATATATCTAAGGAGTCGCAGCTAGCAATCGATATTTATCGATTTCGGTCGACCTATACCTTCAGCTCTTATAAACTCTCAGCTGATATGGACTTTCATGCCAAATTGTATTTAATATAGTATTGAAATTCTTTTTTTGTGCCTACTCAAACATACTTTTCATAGTTCAACTCGATTCTTTGACTAGCTGCTCATCGAAAATAATAGACGAATATACCCCTTTCCATGCAATTTGAATGGGTATAGCTTACAAAAGTATGTAATTATCAATCAACTGACGTGCCACAGTCACAATTATGTAATTTTTTACGACTTTTATTTTCCGCCAACATTTGTTTCCCCTTAACATTGCCCTTGGCCCGATTGCACGTAGCTGGCTAAAAATAAAAATAAAAAAATAAAAACAAAAATACATAACATTTTTTTGGTGCACACAATAAAAACAAAACGCTTGAAATTAGAGATTGAAAAAACCAAAACAAAAAATTAAAAAATTAATATATATATATTTCATGCTTGGCTTAAAGCTGTCAATTATCTGGTCGATTGACCACAGAGATTCGTCGTGTTGCCCCTAAAATAAAAGTTTTTTTTTTTAATAATTATTATTAATTATTGTGCAATGCATTTAACTAATACAAGATACGCCTTCTTCGGATTAAATCTTTACATTTCCATTTTCACGCATATTTCACCATTTCCGTTTGCCACCTGTTGGTGGAATCGCTAAAACAAGTGTTGAATAATTTTTGTTCTATGCATCTTTCAGAGTGAGAATGAATTAGTTGCGTTAAAGTGAGCGCGTGAATCAAGACTCAATTATTTATAGCTATTGGGGAAATATATGATGTAGGTATACAATCCGATAAAAGTCCAATACTCTCTCTCTCTCTCTCTCGCTCCCATTGCCAGCAGTTTTACCAAAGTAATTATTATTACATATGTATTTGAACCGGTTCCAGCTTTAAACTAACTATAGAATTCTGTGACGAGTTCTCCCCCTTTTTGATGGCAAATAAATATTAAAAGCGTGCAAAAATGAAAGCTAATTGCTTGCTAAATATTTGACTTGCTTAGAAAACAAACAGTCAAAACTTAATGTCTGTTTTAACTAATATCACGTTAGGGGAATTGTGTCTAAAGCAATTAATTTTTCTTCTTAGTTCTTCGAGGGCTCTAGACCTTCGATATGTATCTCTATCCACATAGATGAATTGCGCTTTGGACTCGATTTACGAACACGTATACATATATAGTGCGTGTATATATATCTGGGTTTCTCGAGAACAATGGGCTTGGTGGGACTTTTGGCCTGCAGAGATAAGGCCCATTATAAATACCACTTGTTTATGCAATTACTTAGACCATTTTATATCGTTTGATGTGTTTTGATCAAATGCTACCGCCAATAATTAATGAATGGCGGCTTCTGTTTAACTACCGAAAGACTGTAAAACACAAATTACTGAAATACCGATGGGCATCATAAATATGCCCAAATTGTAGCAGGTAATGCATTAGGCCTCATTTATGACACACGTACATACATATATGTGACGTTCGACGATGATCTGCAAAAAAAAAGTATATATATAATGCCTCGATCTTAATCTGCAGATACTTGATCATGTTTACAGTAGACAATGACTTGGAGAAACCGAAACCAGATACCGCCAGACACTCGAACCCACCAATTACCAGAATTATCAGTATCATCAGCTATTTGGGATTTGGTCGCGTGCTCTACTTCTGCGCCTTTCTTTTTAGTCACTGGCCGATTGATAAACCCCAATCGGTATGCGCCAGTAAAAGGTAGTCAGGACAGGCAGCTACCCTATGTCTAGGCTTGAGGTATCCTGAAGATAGTATTGCCAGATCGATAGAAAGAGTAGAACAAGCAGCTAGCATTATTTAATACTCAGATCAAGAGTTTGTCTGTTCGGTTCCATTTCCTTATCTATCCAATCTATCGAAAGATATTCTATCGAAAGAATATATTTATTAATCGATTAATAATCGAAAACTTTACGACTCTAACTTATCCTAGAATCAATGAGAAATGATTAAAAGCCCAAGGCTGAATTTATATATTTATCGCTTTTGGATGAAATATTATTCACCTATCTGAAGTCTCTAATTTTTTGAGTCCAATACGGGACGCCTTAAGCTCTGTTCCAACTCCTTCTATACTATTCATACTATTATGCCTATGATAGTCTGACGAGATAGTTATCGATATATTTATTTATAGCTATAATGCTAGAAACTAAAAGAAATATAAGGATAAAGATTTCTAAGAACCGGCTAATAAACTAACCGAGAATCAGAAGAACTTCAATGCCAAATTCTTTGGCATTCTTCTTCTTTCTTTATGAGAATAGTTAAAATTCGATATTTATCGATGTTAGATAAACGTAAATCAAATATTATTGAACTGCGCATGGAAAAAGGGGAAGTTTATCAGGTGTCTTTATCCCGCATAGTCTCTAATGGACATCTATATGAATACACCACGCATACGTGCACAATATATCGATAGCCCCATCAAACATTTTATGGTTGTAGGGTATAAAAAATCGCCGTTAATTATAGAAAATTGCTTGTTAATAGCACTGTCGAGTTTAACAGCCGCATAACGTATCTTTACGACGGGCAATACCTTAAACAAAATATGAAAAGCAACAACAAAGTACGTAAATATACTGACAAGCATACACTGATAAGCGCACTACCTGTGCGACGTGCATTATTGGCTGGACTTGTCCCACAGATGCGCGGGGACATCAACAAATGACCAACGGAATTGCCAGACAGGGCAGAACAATTTGTACTGTCATGGTACTTGAGAGCCGTCACGGGAGTGAACGTACAAATATTATAGCTAATTGAAAAAAAATTTATATATAATATAATTATAAGAATCTTTTATCAATTGTAAGGTCATGATATTATGTTCTAAAATAGATTGAAGCGTTTCTGGTTCGAGTTTTCTTATCGAATGCTAATAAATAAGTCTAATTAAGACATAAATGAACGAAAAATTTATTTGATAATTACTAAATTAGTTTCACTTTAAGTTTATCTTTTTATGCGCACTAAAGATTATTGAAGCTGACTGTGCGCAGAATTTTCTAGTTTCATAGAAGCTTAATGCCATGAACTTTGCAATAATCGATTAATTTAAATATCGATTAATTTGCTTTCTTAATTGCTAATGAAATGTAAAAGGGAATGACGGAATGGAACATGCTCAGGCTTGTACAGTTGCACGCTGTGCGCGAAACAATCGAATGGAACAGCCACTCATTGTGGCTTGCGTGCACAAACATTCGACCTGGACTCACAATCAAATTTCTAAATCGAAACAGGCCATACAATACCTATATACAAAATTAGTGTTAATCCAGACTCTCGAAATTCTCAGTATTTTCACTTAGTAAGCCTGGAGTCAAAACAGTTGTTGCCTCGTTTCGATTATATTTATTTAATAGCAGAAAATCAAAATTGTGAAAAAGGGTATTTAACAGTGAGTGTGTTGTGTTAGCGATTATTGCAGAAGAAACACGAATAACATATGTACATGTATACATATATAATTGTATATGTATATGTGTATATATATATAGTCTTATAGTCTTCGGTCTAATCAGAATTGTTGAGCTGTCCACTTGATGAAATCCCGGGTCTAGCACTTGGGAGGCCACTTGAATAGGGGTTTGGCGCCCGATTAATTGCCCATATTTTGTTTTTTTTTTTTATTTAACCGCTTCTAATTTGTGTGTGTGCGTGTGTGTGTTGTTTGTCTTTCAGGCTATTGTTGAATAAGAGAAGCCTTGTATGGCTGGCAATCGTCGCTCTGATGGTCACCGGTCTGACGCTTGGCCTTGTCTTCGGACTGAGATCGAGGGATACGCGCTATATAACTGGAGCCGTGGTCTCCAATGGCATCGGCTGTGCCGAGGTTGGCGGCTCGATGCTCCAGGAGGGCGGCTCCGCGGTGGATGCAGCAATTGCGACGCTCCTCTGCGAGGGCATCATGTTGCCGCATTCGATGGGCATCGGCGGTGGATTTGTGGCAACCATTTACACGCGTCGCACACGCAAAGTGGAAACGGTAATGGCGCGCGAATCGGCGCCAGCTGCTGCAAACAAGGAGATGTTTGTGGGCCAGAAGGAGGTGACGGGCGCACTGGCGGGCGCTGTGCCCGGCGAGATACTTGGCTATTGGGAAATGCATCAGAAATATGGACGGCTGCCATGGAAGGCACTGTTCCAGCCATCCATTAAGATGGCCCGCGAGGGTCATGTTGTGTCCCGCTATCTGGCCGCTGCCATCAGCTCCAAGCTAACGCAGATCAAGAGTGATCCAGCGTTATCCAAAATGTTTCTCAACGATAAGGGTGAGCCGTATGTGGAGCACGATTATATGAAGCGGCCCGCCTTGGCCAATACCCTGGAGCGGATCGCTAACAATGGCGCCGGCGAGATTTACGATGGCGGCGAGACGGGCGTCAAGTTTGTCGAGGACATCACCAAATTGGGCGGCATTATAACACTGGATGATCTCAAAAATTTCAAGTAAGTATTACACTCAATAGTGCTCCGATAGCAGTAGAGACGGTTAACAGTGTTGAGCAATCGCTAAAAGTGTACAAATTATCGATAATCGATTACCGATGTTAGATCGCGATTACTTGAGATGGTAATAATTTAAAAAAAAAGAACTCTCTTTAATTCTGCGACTTGTTTTAATTACAGAGTGCGCTGGGAGAGCGATGGTCACATATCGGCAAATGTGACCGGGGGATTTACGCTGTATACGACACCGTTGCCGTCGAGCGGTCCGGTTCTGGCCTTTATATTGAACGTGATGAGTGAACTGTATTCGGATAATGAGGGCATTTACTGGCAGCGTGTCATTGAGAGCTTCAAGCATGCGTATGGACAGCGCACGAATTTGGGTGACTATGAAAATGATCCGGAATATGGTCAGAGCATAAAGGATCAGCTGGAAAAACTACTTGGTACCGAGCTGGTGAACACCGTGCGAGCCCTGATAAACGATGAGAAAACCTCGCAGGATTATATGTACTACGGCGCCAATTTCACCGTGGAGCCCGATCATGGCACCGCCCACATGAATGTGCTGGCAAGCAATGGTGATGCCATATCCATTACCAGCACCATTAATACATAGTGGGTAGCATTGACTTTACACAATTTGGCGTTATAGTCAGTTAAAATATATTCTCTCTTGCAGCTTTGGGGCCAAGGTAGCATCGCCGCAAACGGGCATCATATTGAATGACGAGATGGATGACTTCTCGACGCCGGGCGTTATTAACAGTTTTGGCGTACCCTCCTCGCCAGCCAATTACATCTATCCACACAAGCGGCCCATGTCCTCCATGAATCCCTCGATCATTGTCGATGCCAATGGCGATGTGCGCATGCTGGTCGGAGCTGCTGGCGGCACCAAAATAACAACCAGCGTGGCAACGGTACGTATGGGAACATACCAAAGCTATCTATTGTATTCCGAGCTGATAACTTCATTGCCCTCAATATGGCCAGGCGCAGCCAACTTAACGCGCTCATGCGCAGCTAACTTAATGCAGCGCGCTTAATTGCATATTAATCGATGCTGTATTAATCGATCATCCTCTCTTTTCACTCTTAGGTCATAATGAAGTATCTGATACGCCACGAGAGCATGTCGCATGCCGTTAACGATGGTCGCCTGCATCATCAGCTGATACCTATGCGCATCGATTACGAGGCGGATGTAAATAGTGAGGTTATAGAATATCTGCGCAATGCTGGACACACATTGAGTGATAATCCTGGTGACGGAGGATTCGCTGCAGTTACGGCAATCGGGGCGTTACATGAACCGGAACCGTTCTTTGATCGTCGACGCGTTGGCAGCGTTTTGACTTTACAAAATAGAAACAAGATGCAGCATTAAATAGTTACAATTTTGGGTGCCGTATCGGCATCAAATTGGCCAAGCTTAACGCTTGATTGGCGAGATTTTTCATTTTATCATTTGAACTCTCATTATATCTATATCTATATATATATATATATATATATATATATATATATATATATATATATATATATATGTATATGCACATTAACACACACATACATACATATGTATATAAATATATATATATATACATATATATATATATATACATATACAGAGATATATATATTCATTGTTACTGTAATTATAATTAATACGCATCTGTACATATGTACATATATTTGTAAATTGTAAAATTTTGTAATATTTAAAATGATGTAAATAAATGTAACAGCTCGAATATTGCAACAGTTTCGAGAAAGCAATATTACAAATAACAATCGCGTCTCTTTTTTAAAAAGTCGACACTTAAACATACGAAACGTGAGTAACGTTTTCTAACCGACGCAAAGAGGAGTACGTACGCAAAAGTGAGCAGTGTATTTTTCGTAGTATTAGTATTTTTCTAAAGTATATTTTGCCTATCGCTTATCGATAGCAGTCGGCATTTATTGCGAATCGTTGCCGCCAGTTGGCGTTAAAGTGCCGAAGGTGCCACCTGATGTGCTAGAAAACGTCAAACGCGTGGCAATTCCAAATACTGCTGTACATTTTTTTGTTTACGTTTACACCGCAGTTATTTTTGCATTGCATTCGACAGCGTTGCGCGCGCCTTGCGTATTGTGGTGCGTTAGTGTAAGCGGCAGCAGCAGCAGTAAAAACCAATTTGCATTGAACTGTAATTGCTTTGCACGGGCATTTAAAAGTGTTAAGCCGCTACGCTCATTTGTCATTAACGTTGATTGCCTTTTGATCAACGCTTTCGCAGCGGCGGCTCACCTAGTTCTCGTTTACACACACACAGAAACACTCTGACAGTCACTTACTTTCAGATTCAATCTCACACGCACGCACACACCACACACACACACACACACTCGTGCATTGACATCTACATCGCATCCAAAGTTAAAAATTCTTAAACAGCCTCTGCCTGCTGCTATCTTGGCTAATTGTTGTGCGGCGTTCGCCTCCATTTGCTTTACATTGCTGTCGCGTAGCCGCTGCTGAGACGCCAACGACAAAGCCAACGGCGACGCCAACGTCGACAAAGCCGTCGACACGTCAACAGAAACAGAATTGGAAATCTGTACGTAACTGTATTTAATTAAATCACAATTCTGGCGAGATGCGTGTGAGCAACATACGCAGCGGCCGCATTTGCCGCTTGGTTCTCTGCCTGTTGGTCATATTGCCGCTGCTCTATTTGCTGGCCAACTGGAGTGATCACCACAAGCGTGTCCAGGAGGCGTATCATACGCGCTTCGGCGGACCCAAGTTCAGTCATCAGCGCCTCGAGAATAGGCCACGTGAGGTGCCCAAGCTAGTTGAGGGTAAGTACATATGCGCACACCTATCGATTGGCCGGATATGCTTCCTATGGAACTATATAATATAGTAGGCCGACTTTGACAATGCGTCAGCCGTAAGGTAAAACTTGCAAATGCCAGGTTTGGTCAAGATAACTTGAAGAATTGTACAGCTTCTCATAAAAAATCTCTCATAGGACATCTTTACGGTATATTGCCGGCTCCGACTAAGTATTTATTGGCTGCCAATAGAAATGCGGACAATAGTTTTGGAACTGGGACTCTAGCTTGCTTAGAAATGGATGAAGGGAATGAAGAACACGGCTGTGTTGAATTGGCTCTTCATACTGCCAGGACGTTGCCTTCATCTTGTGACCAAATTAAAATACATACATCTAGAGCAATAAGGTCTTCTTTGCCAGGCATCCATATAGTACAGTAAAAACTATTAACGCACGACTGTCATGGTCATATATCCGCTTGAGGTACCAATTTGTTTAGAGTGCCAAGCGGAGTTTCTTTCACGAGATTTCTCGAAATAGCGCACATGAAATAAGGTTTCCATGTGTTTTGACTATATCTGCGACTTATCCAATCTATTAGAAGACACGTATTAGAAGAAAATTCAAATCGTTATATCCTCCAATATGAATAATCATATGTAAAAAGTAATTATACTCGCAATAGCCTGTGATGATATCATAAGTTTTGTTCATATCTGTTATGGCCACAAATTATATATATATATATAATTTATTTTTCTACACAACTGGTCTGCGACGACGGCCTCGCCGGAACAAGTGTCGCATAATTATTATTAGTACATAACTTTAGTTATTGTTTTTGTTATTTGCTGTATGTGCATTTGTTTGTCTGCCGGCCGGTGCATTGTGTGTGTGTGCGCAGGTGTCGATCGTTATTTACTGGAGAATTGTTTGCATTTGCAGGTCTGGGCAACTTTGAGCCGAAAGATCTGAAGCCACGTAACGGACCCGGCGAGAATGGAGATGGGCACACGCTGTCGCCGGATAAGAAGAACGTGGCCGATGCCTCTGAAATGGAGTATGGCATGAATATTGCCTGCTCCGATGAGATATCGATGCACCGTTCGGTGCGGGACACACGGCTCGAGGAGTGCAAACATTGGGACTATCCATACGATCTGCCGCCGACCAGTGTCATCATTGTGTTCCACAACGAGGGCTTCTCAGTGCTCATGCGCACCGTGCACTCGGTCATCGATCGCTCGCCCAAGCACATGCTGCACGAGATCATATTGGTGGACGACTTCTCGGACAAGGAGAATTTGCGCACCAAACTGGATGATTACGTCCTGCAGTTCAAGGGCCTGGTCAGGATTATACGCAACACCGAGCGCGAGGGTCTCATACGCACACGCTCGCGCGGCGCCATGGAGGCCACAGGTGAGATCGCCTCAGAGCCAGGACAAGGCATTTGTCGAATATTTGTTTTTTTTTATTATTATCGTGTACTTATGTATGTATGCATGTATGGATGGATGTGTGTATGTATGTATGTATGTATGTGTGTATGTGTGTGTGTGTGTGTGTGTGTGTGTGTGTGTGTGTGTGTGTGTGTGTGTGTGTCTGTATGTATGTATGTATGTATGTGTGTCTGTATGTATGTATGCGCGCACGTTTGAAGCAAATGTTGACAAAGTTAAGTTCGTGCTGCGCTAAAAAATTTAAATGCAACGTACATTAAAGCGATGCCTTACTCCTCGATTCTCATGAATTCAAATAAGCTTGCAAGGTTTCCCTACTTTTAGTGTTTTTTTTACTGTGTTGTGTGATTGTGTTTTTTTTTTTAATGTATGTTTGTATGTATGTAGGCATGTAGGCATGTATGTATATATGTATGTATGTATGTATGTATGTATGTATGTATGTATGTATGTATGTGTGTGTGTGTGTGTATGTGTATGTGTGTGTGTATGTTATGTGTATGTATGCGTGTATGTATGTATGTGTGTATATATGTGTGTATGTATATATGTGTATGTATGTATGTGTGTGTGTGCTTATATGTATGTTTGTGTACATATAAGTATGTATGCATGCGTGTGCGTATATGTGTGTACGTAATTTATCTTGTGATGGAATACGTATTCTTTTTAAAGTTCGGATATGTCTCCCTCACAATTTTGTTTGGACAACTTTAAAAAAGTGTTTTATTTTTTCATTTTTCAAAGTATACAAATAAATGGTATGGTGTTAATTGAAGGGTACAGAATTGAATGGTCAGAAACATGTAACAGATTTGATAAAGAGTGCTCTAGCATAAATATATTACAATCGTTGATGGTTGTTGTTGAAGAGGATAGCTAAGGTGTTGGTTTTAATGGTAAATAAGTCTCTAGACTTTTAATTGTTTTGATTTTGTGTTCTTTTTAATGGTCTGAAGCAGCATTGATTACATTTTAATACTGTTGCAGGTGAGGTGATTGTTTTTCTGGATGCGCATTGCGAGGTAAATCTCAACTGGCTGCCACCGCTGTTGGCACCCATTTATCGGGACCGGACGGTGATGACGGTGCCGATCATTGATGGCATTGATCACAAGAGCTTTGAGTATCGTCCCGTGTATGGCAGCGACACCCATTTCCGTGGCATCTTCGAGTGGGGCATGCTGTACAAGGAGAACGAGGTGCCGCGCCGGGAGCAGCGTCGTCGTGCCCAAAACTCGGAGCCCTATCGCAGTCCAACGCATGCGGGCGGTCTGTTTGCAATCAATCGCGAATACTTTTTGGAGCTGGGCGCCTATGATCCCGGCCTGCTGGTGTGGGGCGGCGAAAACTTTGAGCTGAGCTTCAAGATCTGGCAATGCGGCGGCAGCATTGAATGGGTGCCCTGCTCTCGTGTGGGCCACGTCTATCGCGGCTTTATGCCGTACAACTTTGGCAAGCTGGCTAGCAAGAAGAAGGGTCCGCTGATTACCATCAACTATAAACGCGTGATTGAGACCTGGTTCGATAATACGCACAAGGAGTTCTTTTACACACGCGAACCGCTGGCACGCTATCTGGACATGGGCGACATTACCGAGCAGCTGGCATTGAAGAAGCGTCTCAACTGCAAATCATTCCAATGGTTTATGGACAACATTGCCTACGATGTGGTTGACAAGTTCCCAGCCCTGCCGGCCAATTTGCATTGGGGCGAACTGCGCTCGGTTGCCTCTGATGGCTGCCTGGATTCCATGGGACATCAGCCGCCGGCCATAATGGGTCTCTCCTATTGCCATGGCGGTGGCAATAATCAGCTGGTGCGACTGAATGCCGTCGGACAGCTGGGCGTTGGCGAACGCTGCGTGGAAGCGGACCGTCAGGGCATCAAATTGGCCGTCTGCCGCTTGGGCACAGTCGATGGACCCTGGAGCTATAATGAGCACACCAAACATTTGCTGCATCGCGTCCACAAAAAGTGCATGGCACTGCATCCAACGACGCAGCAGCTCTCGCTGGGACAGTGCGATGTCAACGATGGCTACCAGAAATGGCTCTTCAAGGAGATACGTCCGCACTGGTAGGAGCGCCGGGACACCTAAGGCGGCAGCCAGGCGTTAAGGCAATATCTAACAAGGGTTTCAATGGGACGTGCATCATGACCGGCAGGGGTAAAGTGGGAGGGCTCGAGGGGGTATTCAACGGGGTTAGGCACCGTTTTAGACAAGGAATTTAGTGAAAATGAAAACAAATGGAATTGTTGTTGGTTTTATAACGTACACACACACCCACACGCGTACATCTATATATATATAAATATATGTATACTTCTATATTTATATTGATATATATAGATATATATATCTTATGGGCCTGGGCAATCGGTTTATTTTTAGGCATTACTTATTTGTGATTTTCCAGGATATTGAGCAATACAGATAGATATTAACCATTTATATCAATTTCTAAATTAAGTTGCATACATGTAAAATGCAACAATTCGAGCTGTGATAAGCAGTCCAGAGATTGGCATGAATCCAAATTTGCAATATTTAAGAAATACCCTCAAGATATTTACATGTGCAAAAAAGCTAAGCTATTTGTTTTTTGACATAAACAACAGAGCATAGATTGGTGCTTGCTTTAAGGAAAAACTTATTCGAATATTATGCAATTGACTGGAACTAAGTAAAACATGTAATATATGCCCAGCGGCAGACATATATGATTAACAATTAGCCCAACCGACTGCCCATAAGTTACCCAGCTAGAAAACAAGTGTGTGTACGTTTTATTTTGTTGTGCACAACGCATGCGAGTGAGTGAGAGCGACGAGTTTGACGCACGAGCGAGATGGCGAGTAAAGGCGTGAGCGGTGCCGCTGCGTTGCAAAAGAGGGAGAGCAAGTGTGCAATATATATTTATATATATATATATATATATATATATACATCTGCTATATATATATCTGTTCGTTTGCAATAAAAGCCTTGCCAGGACATTTTTATGAATATCAGCAAACTAATTTGTAATATTGTAGTACATATGCCTACTATAACTCCATGTAACTATATGTATCTCTCTCTATATACGTATATTTATTATATGCCTATGTTTATTAACTAAGTTTATTGCTGCCACATTCCAGAAACTGATATAAGGCTCAACTTTATGCGACTTTGCCGATTTGTAACTATATTTTGTATTTTTTTTTTTAATTTTTTCATGTGACTTTTGTTAATATTAATTATATATATAGTTTATAGACGTTTATTGAAGTTGAATTGATTGGAATTCCCAAACACAACCAATTTGTAGCACGCGCATTTCTCGCAGTCGCTGTGTGTTTTAAATGTAATTTTTATTATACATTCATATACATGCATATACACAATATATATAGGGTATATATATGCAATATATATATATATACATACATATATTATTTACATTCAAGTGTAACTCTAGAGTTATAAGTCTGAATAATAAATAGTAATAAAAACGTTTTCTAAACACTATCTGCTACCTAAACTCTTACTGTAGCTACTTTAAACAATAAGATCTATCAAATAGAAAGTTTGATCAACCATATTCCTTTGTCTCTATCAATTACTGTATGTGAAGTAAACTGCTCGCTTGCAGGTTAATCAAATTTATGAAATGAAAATAATTTGCAAAAAAATGTAGAAGGCCAAAGTTTGTATTTTAACGAATACAAAACGATCACTGTAATTGTACGATATGGTTTGTTTACGTTATATGTATATATATTATTCCCAAATCGCTAAAACACGTATTCATTATGTTCTTAAGAAAATAAGTTTGAAGCAAATCGGAAAATGTCCCAAAAACAATAGTAATATTGCCAGATTAAGATGCCAAATTGATCTAGAGGCTAAGCCATGAACAAAGAGTTATGGGGGTGGGAAATTTGGACCTATTTATAGGATATGGGATATTTGAGGGTACAATTTTCATATGAGTTTTGACCTAGAATAATGTTGCCAGATTTAGATGTAGCTACATTTTGTTGATGTTAATGCACGCTATAACATTTTAAAATATTGCAAATCCGATATATAATAATGAAAGTATATTTACACGATAACGAAAAGTCCACCCCACGGGAGAAAAATAACTGGAGAAGTGCAACACTTTCTGCTTTTTTCATCATGTTCGGTAAATGGGTGTGTTGATTGATGTGTGCGTATATAAGGATGTATGATTTTATGTATGTACGTACGTATGTTTGTATGTATGTACAATTGCGCATACAAACATACGTTTGTATGTATGTACGTATGTATGTTTGTGACCGGACATGTATGTCAGTATTGATGTATAACTGCATAATCTCTTATACCAAACGTAAAATTTCTGCCAAATTGCAAGAAAACGTATTTTGGAATGCTTCCACTCTATGCGATTCTCATGAATTTAAATAGGGTATTCAGTTCTTTATGTACTAAACGTTATTTACCTTTTTTAAATTCTTCTTGGCATGCATGTACTTAAGGCAGCATGTTTGTGTATACGTATGTAATATCTTAAACAGTTTTGGATACTTTACAATATATATCAATACGCATATAGACAGCGTACGTAAAACTGATAAATATGCTACTTACAACATATTCTTCAATTGCAATCAGATCAGGAGCAATTAATTTATGGAAGCGTATGATTCAGCATTGATAAATTGATCAATAATAACAGGTGCTATCATTGACCATTGCCTAATCTTGTTTGCTAATTTGTGACTGATGATGACACCACTTGAGGCTGTCCAATTCCAGGGAAGTCCTCAAGAGTTGCGCCGCCGCCTCGATAGGGTTCTGCGAAATACCCCGAAATAGAATCAAGAATAATTAGATATGGTTCCATTGGAATGCTATTGGAAGTAAGCCAATTGTGATGAAATCCATCATTTTTTGAGAACGATATTGCGCCAATCCTATCACTAATTAGAAAGCTACCGAACTAGTGTCTGTCAAATTGTCAGGTGCTGTTTACGTTGTTTATGATTCTGGGCCGCTTATCAGCCGCCATTGCGAGCTGCCTAAGTCGAGAACAGCCTGGTACATGAGTCTGTTGCCCCATGATTAGATCGGCGCGGGGCGAAACGCAATATCACCAAATTGTTCAATTTAATTGACTGAAGTGGGCTGGGCCGGGAACAAGCCTTATCAGCATTGGTTATGGTAAATACTTGTTAGAAAAGGGTCATATTATATGGTCATGTGGTTTGTGCACAACCTTTCTCACTTGATTTTATATTTATTTTTGGCATGGGAGGTCATCTAGAAGGTCTCTCTCTCTCCCTCTCTCTCTCTCTCTCTTTCTCTCTCTCTCCTTCTGTATCTCTTTCTCTGACTTAAGCGATAATCTAGTGTTTTTCACTTTTGATCTGAAAAGTATTTGAAAGTTTTAAAGGTTTGTACTGGGTTTTTTATTCTCTTTTTTTTTAGCTACCGTCTGTGGAGTTATACAACACTGGCATTGTGGGAGTGTGTTCTTCAAATGAGAATATACTGTCTAAAAGTTACTTCTGGGGATGAAGGAGTCTAGACGGTCTCTCTCTCTCTCTCTCTCTCTCTCTCTTACTCTCTCTCTCTCTCTCTTGTTATTAGTATCTTAGTTTTAACTTCAGTCGGGAAAGTTATATAGCACTGGCTTTGTTGGCGTATGTTCTTCAAATGTAAAAGTACTTTTCGAAAGCAGTTCAAATGTGTATAGATAAATCTTTTATTCAATACATGTATTTTTAGCTTAGGTTACTTGACAATTTACTTTTAAGGTTAGGTTAGGAGCTACTAGCTAAAGTCTCTTGTAAGTTGCTTGTAAGTATTTTAAAGTTAACGCATGTTAAACAAAGACATGTTTGCCTGAATTGGGAAATCCCAAAATATGATATTTGAAATTGTTTCAAGTATGATCTTCCATTTGTTCTGGAAAACTCTAGATGGCAGCGCTGGAAGGGCATTCAGAAACTGCTTCGTTCGCAATGATGAATCACGTTCTTGTTGTTGGATTAAACGTTGTCAATGGAAATTGTCAATTGGCGTGATAAGGGCCGGAACCCGGCCTGTGGGCTTGGGGCGTGTGGTGCGAAATTAAACGAAACCAAAATCAAATGGCTTCCACTTAATTGGCGCTAGTATAAATAATAAAGAGTTTGCCACTGCAGAGCTCATTCAGTGATTACCATTCGCAACAGTTGGAACATATTTATATATATACGCATCTTTTTTTTGTTGCAAATCTTACGCAAAATGTGCAAATTGAGTTTGTGTCTGTTGGTTGCCATCTTTGGCTGCCTGGTGGCCCAGAGTTTGGCGGGTGTGGCACGTGACGCCGATATACATCGCGATATTGTTGTGGTCAAGAATGTGCGCGATTTCGCAGCCCAGCATCCGGGCCTGAAGATGCAGCGGCTGGAGAAGCAGCCGGCGGTGCGTGCTAGCGGACAGTCCGTGCGTTATACGCTAGGCGCTCGTGTTTCCGGTAAGCGATGGATGCCCTTGTGGCATGATGATAGTGCACGAAAGTATGCAACGAATTCTTAAAACTCTTGTGCGCTGTCTACTTTCAGGCGACAGACTGGTTGCCCAGGGCGCCGACGTCTACAGCTATCCGGCACGCAAGGACGTCAGCCTGCAGCTGACATACCCGGAGTCCGGCGCTGGCTCGATTGTCACCTTTGTGGAGCTCATTTGCACGCAGGACAACAGCGAGGGCAATGCCTATGTTGTTGCCGGCGGCATTGGCCAGCGGTTCATATCGATTGTGGTCGAGGCCAAGCAGACCGAGAACTTTGCCTACCAGGCCCAATACTTTGGCTCCGATTAAGTGAGAGCGCCGCTTTCTCCCACAAATATTAGCTCTCTTTAATGCATTCTTTTCTTTTGCTTCCTTTTTTGTTTTTTTTTGATGTTTGATTGTACAAACTATCGCATATACACACATATATAAATGAATTACTATCTATAAATTGTAGCCGCTTTCATTATAGAGGGGCCTTCGTAAATATCGCTCAGCAGACAATCGCTGGCAAATAAATCGAAAGTGCTCACGCGCTTCCCACTTGAGTATAGGTATGCGATCTCGTAAATTAACGCTAAGCTTTCAACAATGACGCCAACGCCTGGCGCCCCATCCGATCTGGGGATATTCCGAACGGTCTTGAAATAATCTAGACAACTGAGGGTGCACGCGACTCGCAACGTTTGTGATTTGTGGTACCAAGATCAAGGAAAAATAGTTTAACTGTGGGTTATTCGATCCCATTTTATATGAAGATAAGTACTACGTATGACAGCTACTGCGGTCTATATATAATGACAAGCGGAGCGTTATATTAATTTTGTTGCACGGTTAAATATGGAATATTCCCAGGCTTGTGCTTGGCTTATACAAATCATAATGATAATAACAGTTGCAATACAAAGAAATTTAATTAAAAAGCGTATTTACTAAAAATCTCTTGTTATCGATCTGCTGATCTCGATTAAATTGATGCCTCGAGTTATTACCGTTTAAATAGGATATTTGTTATCGAAAGTATTGCCATATCTTTGCAGAAGTTCTCGATGATAACTTCCGGGCGATTCCCTATTGTATGAGTCAGACTTCTATATGCTAGTTATTGAAACATGGCTCTGGCAATATATGTTCTATTTCTGTTCGCTGGCTTTTGCGGTTGGCTTAACTAATTTGAAAGAAATGTGTCAATTTATCAGGCCCGAAATGTTTTTTACTAACTTAATGATAACTAGTGAGAGTGGGAGGGTGTCGAGTGTGAGATACCCTGTAGTTTAAGATTAAATGGCAACTGTAAATAAACTGAACTGTATTGCACTGATTTCTTGCGCTTAGGCGAGTTCCAGCCCGGAAAAAGAAACTCTCAACAAATGTTTACCTTCATGCTACCCTCTAATACGTATAGGATACTAGAAATAATTGCCCGATATTTCTCGAAATAGACGTTCAATCGATTGCTTGCTATTGTGCGCAATTATGTATATCAAGGTTAAGATTGCAAAACAAAATCCAACAACACGCGCCAAGCACAACTCACTTCTCTTTAATCATCAAAAGCGACGATGATAACAATTCCCAACTGGGTTACAATCAAAACTTAGTTCTCGACAGCATAAAAATAAAACCACATTCACTCCATTAATAATATATGATTTCGCTTGAAATCTTGTGCAAGAAATTATTTTTAATTTTTAATTGTGTTTTACATCTCAATGTTAACAATAAAATTCACTTTTGGCTCAAAGATTGTTTTCGTTCTGACGCAGTAGCAATGTGCTAGATAACTCTTGACTCATCGATCTACATGAATATAAAAACTGTCTGGAATTGAAAGATAACTAAGCACTTGTATTTATTAAATATTTCAATGAGTTGTTTTTTCTTTATTTTGTTTTTTCGATTGTTGCCACGCAAAGAGGCATCATAAAACATTTGATTGTTCGTATACTTAATATATTGTATACAATAATTTCAATCGGGAAAAGTATAAGAAAAAGTTCATATTATTTATGGCAAATGTTTATGTTTTAAAGTTTATTTTAAACAAATTACTTTTTAGTCTGAACTTAAGTGTTTGGTATATTTTTAAGAGAAAAGATTAAACTAAGTGCATATATGTATTTTGATTCAAATGTATTGGGTTTCTCAAGCATTTTTTATACCCTGGACCCATTAGAAATGGGTAAAAAGGGTATATTGTATTTGTGTAAAATGCAAATGCCTGTAACTGGCATATATATTCTTGATCAGCACCAATAACCGAGTCGATCTAGCCATGTTCGTCTGTCTGTCTGTATGTATAAACGCAAGGTTCTCAGAACCTATAAAAGCTAGAGACCTGAAATTTTAGATGTAGGTCCTCCTAGTGACTGCGCAGATCGAGTTTGTTGCCGATAATCGATAACCTACTCCGTTTCCAAACAATCGATATAAATCGATATCGACATGGTTTTTACATACATTTGCATTCACATTCTATCGCATTCTAACAGCATTGTAATTGCGACTTTTTTCTTTAATGCTATTTTAGTTGGTTTTATTCTCGTTGATACTCAATTATTGGTTTGGTTGTTAAGTAGAGGCATAGCAAGTGTCGCGAGTTCGAACCCTACCTGGGAAACTAATTTTTCTTTTTTTGCAGGTTTGTCTGTTGAGTAGAGTCGTCAGCAAGTAATACGGTTGGTTGCGAGTTCGAACCCTGCAAAAGGAACTTTTTTTTTTAAATTTATCTTTATTACTTCGAACGAGCGCGTTGCGCGAACTGCATTTGGTGTTGAAATATGAGGGTTCAGGGTAGGGAGCTCCCGACTAGAACCTCTTGTTTTAATTTCAAATGTGTTTTTTTTTTTTTTGGTTTTGAGTTCAATTTTTTCAGTTTTCAGCATGCTTTTTTTACTCAATCGGTGAACATCTAAGCTAAGTTTGCTTAAATTCAAATGCTTTCCATAAATCCAATTTGAATGCTACCGGGTTATATTTTATTGTACTGGATGTAATTAAAGAATTCTTGGTATTATTTCCTGAGTGTGGAAATCATATTGTGACATTTCCGTCGAAATGTTGACTCATGCATGGCTATTTTTATCATTTGTATGATGCACTTTGACTGGTCCGCATATTTATTGAAGGCACTGTGCGGCTTTTTGTATGACAATTGGGCATTATATTGGTTGTCGCAGTACGATAAATAAGTACATGCACTACATGGTTCATGTTTTTGTTGATTTTAGTCGCCGATAAGGAAATCAGAGTCCAGCTACTTGCGCACAATGAATGGGCAAACAATTTGAAGTGGCCAACACGAAGACGGAAGTAAAAGCCAGGTCTCAAGTGATATACCAAACAACTAACAATATTCTAATATGGGGCTCAAGCCAGTATCTAGCTATCACATGATGACCAGGTGAACATAATCACAATTTTAGTTGTTGTTGTTATTGTTGCTGTGGCCACGCGCTGCAAATCGATCGATTGGTAATTGGAGGAGTATATTAATTGCTTGAATCCGTTTGGTGTTAGGGCATGTCTAAAATTATTGGCTCTCAAGTGGCCTATTTATAGACACTGAGCGAATGATTGCCAATTAGGGGGCCCCAAAAGAAATTAAAAAAAAACAATACAAACAAAAACAAAATAAAAGCCAAAACCATGGCCAATACTATTAGTCTATGCCGGCTTATCGTTCAGTCGTCGAGCTGCCTTATCTAACGCTGACCGTCGATAAGAGCGGGCGGTATAAAAGCCAATGCACAAAACAGTCGCCAATTAGATTGCACAGAGCGCGGAAGCCACTAACCCAAATTCCATCCAAACCAAAAATCGTTTCTTTTCATTTATTTTATTTGATATTTTTTTTCGCGTGTTTTGATTGCGCCCAAAAATGCCGCAAGTGATTCTCTCGTTACTTTTGCTGGGCGCTTGCGCACTCGCTGCGCCCACGCAGCACCAAAAGCAGCAGTCGCCATCGTTGTCGCAGTCGCCGTCGCAGCGCGCCACCGATCTCGTCTATACACCGATCACGTCTGTAACGGATGCTACTCGCTACACGTCCAAAAATCCAGGAGTGGAGCTACTCGCCCTAAACAAGGTGAAGCATGCCAAGGGCAATATTGTGTTCAGTGCCGGCGAGCGAATAACGGGTAAGCCAAATTGTCATCTCTAACTAAATATGAATAGCTGGCTAACGGTACAACTCGTTCTCGTTCTCGGTCTCGTTCTCGCTCTCGTTCTCGTTCACGTACTCGTCGCCAGGCGATAAGCTGTTGGTCAACAGCTATGATGACGAGAGCTTCACCACCACCGTGGATATTGAGGTAGAGATGACATATTCATCGAGCAGCGGTACAGGCGTTACCTTGACCAGCATTGAGATCTATGTGGACACATCGGCGGATGATGCTGATGCCTATTTTATTAATGGCGGCATTGGCAAGAGCAAGGCATCCATATTGCTGGCCTGCAATCAGACGCGCACATTCTCGTATGAGGCCTTCTTCTATGGTTACTAGACTAAAGAGACCTAATTTGAGAGCAAATAAAACAACAGCATCTTCAACTTGGAACTGAACTGTGATCGCCATCGCTCAACGCTAACGCCATATCCATCCCATTCCTTCTCTCAGAAAGACAAGTATTATTATAGAGCTAACTTTTAATTTAATAGAAAGAAAAACAAAACAAAACTAAAATGAGAAAAAAAAAACAATGAAAACATGACAAAAACAAAAAACCAAACAAAAATTGTCTAAAGTTAAACTCACCAAAAATTGTGCAACTTATTCGATATTTATTCCTTTGGTTCCCTTATCAGACAGTTCAGTTTTTATTATTATTATTTCTCTTTTCAATACTTTGTCTATTTGTGGGGCTCTACGGGCATAAAAATGGCACTGGCTTATCGTACACACACGCACACACACACATCCCTATATAAATACATTTTGCGAACTGACGCGCGGGTTTTTCCAATGCAGCTCCATTTAATTGAAATAGTCATTCTCTGCTGCCCTCTATATCATATGATCTTATACTTAGATAAGGTGATGCAGCGCGTGGCACGTGTCGTTCCTCATGTGGCGCTAACAATTGATTAATTGATTGAATAAAAGAGCCAATTGCATTTCTGTTTGGGTAAAGCCCCCAAGAAGCTCATGACAACTTAAATATACATATGTATATTATATTATAAGAGAGACAGAGCCCGAAGTTTTTGTGGTTTGCTATTGAGCTTTCAAAACAAGACTCTGAAATTTACTTCTTGCTTTTGTTATCGTCTTGAGTACTCAGAATTTGCTTAATACCAAGAACTTACTCATACAATGTCTTATCGTTAAAAAAGTTTATCCCCTACGAAGTCAGGAAGTCAGCTTATTAGCTTAACTCTAGAGCTTAACTTATGAGCGCAACTTTTACGAGTGAAAGCTCGTGAGCGAAATGTCAACTCTACTTGCTTTTTACTTAATGGTTGCATGCTCAGCTCTCGCCCTGTGCTTAGTCTTAATCGGGCTGGGCCTTGCATATTCAGTTGATGGTTGGAACGAGCACAATGATATTTATAAAAAATATCGGATGGATTCTTTCGTTCGCATTCTTCGCAGCCCATGTGCTGCTTTTGATATTGGCTGGCTGCGGAGCACTTAAGTATTCCAGTCAAACACAAATAATTGAACTGTCAGGTGGGTTCCATGTCTCGGTGGATATCGTATAATTGTTTGTGTCTAATGCATCAGTCGGACGACTCCTTTGGCATTGCTTGGGGCGTTGCATGATCGTCAGATTATGTTATTCCACAGGCGTATTTTCGCAATCCAAATAAGTAACAAGTCCGGCATTAATCAAAGAGACTTTTGACTCAGCGACCAGAGTATTGAACTGAATCATATATACATTTATATCTTACTGAGCAGTGGGTGAACGGTGCCCGGAAAGGAATGGATACCCCGCTAGCACTTGCCAATTAGCCGAAAGCTGTACCACATTGGTTGCCTACAAAAATCTGGAGCGTTCTGTGACAGTTTGTGGCTTCATTTCACAATCTGGCCAGGAGCTGCTCTGCTGTCCTGATCCTGCCGAAGCCATCTCACTAACACCAACACCAACACCAACACCAACACCAACAGCAACAACGTAAGTAGCTGCTCGATGTGTGTATTTCTTGACTAACATCTCACCTTAGGGAAACAATTCCAGTGCAAATGACAACACATCTGGCCTCCCTCGGCTATTATAAGGCGCATACCCTAGACGAAATTGTGTACCAATGCACGGCGATTATCCTGTCGCCAACCCAATTGCTGGCGACAAGCAAATGTGTTGGCAAAAAAATATTTGAGAAGCCCAACAGAGTCCTAGTGGGTGTTACAGACCCAAGAAAATTCTTTGATCCGGAGCTGGAGTTTGGAATTTCGGTACTTTTGGTTTTTTTTTTTACTAGCTGTGCCCTAAAATCAGTAAAAAGGATACAAGGGCTTCCATAAGGCATAAACATTCTGGGTGTGCTTCCACAGACGAGTCGATCGGGTCGTCCTCCCTAAATCGATAGGCCCCTCCTCTACCTGCTCTTTGGAAATACAACTAAAGTACTTATTTTCAACAGAGTATTGGGCAGTCGATCGATTGCTACTGCACTGTTTTTATATCCAGTCTCGTTTGAAGTGGGTTAGAAAGTGGGATAAGTTTTGTGTAAATGAACGTAAGGTATATTTTTAATTAGCACAACGAACAGTATGTCCATTAGTAAACCTCGGAAATGATAGGAGTAAGAAGCAATACAACTTAGAGAGTTATTCTAGCAGGTATATATGCATACGCAGAACAAGGATCGATATCTCCCGCAATTTCCTTAATTTCATAGAACGTACAGGCCAAGGCATCGTCAGTTTTTAGATACCTGTCCCCTATTTCATTGCGCCTTGTTTTACAAACATATTAAGGCCCTAAAAATGTTTTATAGATTGGACTATAAACTCTGAAGTTTTTCCATATTGGTTTGCACGTAGCAGGAAGTTTGAATTTTTCTTTGACACTTCACACTGGAGCACTTTCAGTGAATTCAAAACATCCGAAACGTTGACAAGAGTGGCTTTAATCACATTACAGACAAAAATACAGTATATGAACGATCTGGCGCTGTTCACGCTGTCCAGCTGGATTGATGTGAGCAAAGCGGACATGGCCAATGTGAGCTTGGCTAGGCGTTGTAACAAGGCCGAGCTGGAGGGAGATCCAAAGCTATACGCCGTAGGATTTGCTCAGGATAATGGTTGGCATTGAAATGAATAGCTGAAGATCTACGTTCTCAATTTAATCTCCAATCCTTCCTTTGTTGACAGGCTCCAACTGCGGCCTGTTCAAGACGCGCCTTGAGAGATTCCACGACTGCACCAAAGTGGAGCTCAAGCGTCAGGTGTCAGGCATCGATAAATCCAGGAACCTGTGCTTGATACCCCAGACAAATGCTTCCCTTCCCGGCGTGAGCGATGACTGCACCAAATGCCTGACGGCCAGCACCAGTGTGCTCCATGTGGAGCGAGCGGACGGCAGTTTCTGTGTGGCGGCCATTGCCACGCCCACCACCAACGATTGCATTGTAAACAGCGGTCCGATTTATTACACCAGCATCGTGGGCAGGGTCGGCGAAGAAGAACTGCCCGGAATCCAGACGGGAATTGCAAACGTCAGCTATCGGAAAAGTCAAAATTAAACGGAATTTCTTAAAGAAATTTCCTATATAAATCTATGGTATATAATAATTAAAATAAACAATCATTCTTAATCGCAATATATACATATATAATACACTTTGGAAATTTTGCGTACATTTTTATACCCTGAACCCATTAAAAATGGGTACAAAGGTATATTGTATTAGTGCGAAAGCCAAATGTATGTAACAGGCAGAAGGAAGCATCTCCGACCCCATAAAGTATATATATTCTTGTTCAGCATCAATAGCCGAGTCGATCTAGCCATGTCCGTCTGTCTGTTCGTCCATCCGTCCGTCCATCCGTCCGCATGTATGAACGCAAGGATCTCAGAACCTATATAGCGATAGAAATCGATATCGATATCATGTTTTTTTGGGCAATTTTGGTAAATAATAAGAGCTAGAGTCAATAAACTTGACATTTAGCTTCTAAAATAGAATATATATATCTTTTTGATGTTGGAAAAAGATGGTTCAGGGTATTCCCTAGTCGGGAGCTCCCGACTAGAACCTCCTACTTGTTATTTGTTTATTAATCTCACAATTAACTGAATGAGAGTGAGAGAGGGATAGAAAGAGAGAGAGAGGGAGGGGGAGAGAGTGATCGCTAGCGATAAGGAATATTCGTAATTTATCTCATTCAATTTTATATACAATTAAAAAAAACATACTTATATATATATATATATATATATATATATATATATATATATATATATTAATAAAACAAACTTAAACTTCGATATGTACAAAATTTTTGTATGATAAGGAATATATGTATATTATATTTTATTTGTATTTTATTTAAAACGCAGATTTGTCGATCGCTTTAGCTTAGTACAGCGTGATCACTTTTACTGTAAGCATAATGTATATTGCCGGTACATCCCAGATGTCAACCTTTATATGGCTGCTCGTGATAATTGCAGTGGCTGGCAGTGTGGACTGGCCAAGCAGACAGGGTGAGTCTGGGTATATTAGTTCTTCTGTGCGTTTGTTTCTAAGCTCAATTATGTAAAAGCTGAAGGCGATCCATGCACCTGGGCTTTAAATTATCCCAAGAGCCATTGTAGGCTAGCCCAAAACTGTCAAACACTGCCCGTGTACATCAATGAAAATCTTTTAAAGTTAGCTGATATACCCAGCTGCGGTTTCATCGACGCTAGCCACTCGGAGATGTTCTGCTGTCCCGATGCGATGCCTGGCCCAATGGTTTCAAGCCTTACATTGGCAGGGCCCACGTATGTCATTTCCCTACCCATTTTAAAGAGATGCCTTAATGTGTCATTCTCTTCCGTTCTGCAGAGTCCAAAATAGCTTTAATCATCTGGCTTCCCTCGGCTATTATAAGGCGGATACCCTAGACGAAATTGTGTACCGCTGCACGGCGATTATCCTGTCGCCAACCCAATTGCTGGCGACAAGCAAATGCGTTGGCAACAAAATATTTGAGAAGCCCAACAGAGTCCTAGTGGGTGTAACAGACCCAAGAAAATTCTTTGATCCGGAGCTAGAGTTCGAACTTACGGTAATTTCAGTTACTTTTTATCACTTGCGGTGCCTTGTATCAGCTAGAAATGCGCCTTAAGGATACAAGGGTTTCCATAAGGTATAAATATCCTGGGTGTGCTTCAACAGACAAGTCGATCGGCTCATGCCCGTTCCTATCCAGACAGAAGAGAGTAAGAAATGCCGAATATAAGTTCTTGTTTATCAATGCAGATTAAGTCAATGTCAAGCTATCGATAATTATCGATTTGTTTTTGAAGCGCATCTGTCACTTTTTCAATCTTTAAGAAAGTTTTTGTCATGGTCCCTGCATTGCGTAGCGCTGAAAAAAGAAGATGCACATTTCGCCCACCTGAAATCGATAAACCCCCCCCCCCCCCCCCCCCCCCCCCCCCTCTACCTGATTTTAGCTGTTCTTTCACTGGGCAGTCGTTTGCCTGAAACTACATCGCTTTTATACCCTGTTTTCTTTGAAGTGGGTATTTTGTGCACTTTAAGGGCACTAGAGCATGCAAACTGTTGACAAAAGTGTCTTTAATCCCATTACAGACAAAAGTACAGTATAAGAACGATCTGGCGCTGTTCTCGCTGGCCAGCTCGATTGATGTGAACAAAACAGAACTGGCAAATCTGAGCTTGGCTTCGCTTTGTAATGAGACCGAGCTGGAGGGAGATCCAAAGCTATATGCCGTAGGATTTGCTCAGGATAATGGTTGGCATTGAAATGAATAGCTGAAGATCTACGTTCTCAATTTAATCTCCAATCCTTCCTTTGTTGACAGGCTCCAACTGCGGCCTGTTCAAGACGCGCCTTGAGAGATTCAACGACTGCACCAAAGTGGATCTCAAGCGTCAGGTGTCAGGCATCGATAAATCCAGGAACCTGTGCTTGGTACCCCAGCCAAATGCTTCCCTTCCCGGCGTGCGCGATGACTGCACCAAATGCCTGACGGCCAGCACCAGTGTGCTCCATGTGGAGCGAGCGGACGGCAGTTTCTGTGTGGCGGCCATTGCCACGCCCACCACCAACGATTGCATTGTAAACAGCGGTCCGATTTATTACACCAGCATCGTGGGCAAAGATGTCGGCAATTTTCGCATCACAGCTAATAATGGCAACTGCGGAAATTTATGTCCTTCGTCAGGAGAAGGAATATCAATACAAACTAAAGTTTTTTCATTTCAAGATTTTATACGATAATACCAGATTCAACAATTCTTATATGAATAACTTTATTTATTTTATATTGTACGCAAATTTAAAGTCCAATTTAAGTAGAGAAATAACGTTAAAAATTTATTATGACAAATGCTACTTAAATATATATTCTTGATCAGCAAGAAGAGCGGAGTCGATAAAACCTTTTCTCAGTCTGTTGCAACCAGCATACATGTCTGAATCGGCCAGATCGTAATATTATTTATAAGATGTACCATATATATATATATCATAGGCATAATGGGACGGATATTAGGTCCTGTGTGGGAAATTATGTTCAAGTTTTCATTTTATCGGTCGAAACTCAGCAATGTCGAGCTTCGATATTCTCCAAACAAAACTATAAGCTCGCATCAAATCGGACTGCTATAATATATATAGCTTATATGGAAACAAATCGGTCGAAAAAATAGCTTAACTAAGCCACATGAATTTCTGCACTTTGTATTCCAGATTTCGAACATTGTCACAGCATTTAGATTGCTGAGAGTTATGTTTCAGTTCATTTGAAGTCTTTCCCTTGATAATATCCAAAACTCCTGAACGAAATGAATGTGCCCAATCCAAACACAACAGCAGCTGCGGAATCCCTAAGTTCGGACTTCTTTTACGGCTGGGATTTGCTATTTAAAACTGTGGAGAGCCGGATTGGCAAGAAGGCGGATGTTTTAATGGTCCTCGCCCATTTTCTGCTGACCAAACATTGTAATTTTCGTTGCGTGGGCATCGGGGATGATAAGAGCCTGGCGGTGGATGAGGTTGGAAGCGAACTGCTGCCGGATCAGTGGAATGGGGATAGTTCCAAGTATTCGCTGAGATATGTGCACAATAAGGTGCTCTATTTGCTGCTGGCCCATATAACTGAGGATGCATTGATTGTCAATTTGTTGGATGTGAACACCAAGAATGTTTCCAATCTGTGCGTTACCCCGGACTCCCTTGTGGAAGATCTGAGGGGTAATCTTGCGAAAACCATGCCAACGGCTGGTGCCATTGTTGAACGCTTCCGCCGAGAGCTGTGCGATCCGGTATTTGAGGCAAATGCCCGGGAAATTACCGTACCGCAACGGACCAGCCAGACGCCCGCGCAGACCATAAATCCTCTTGCCGATGAGTCCCGACGTCTGCCAGCATATACGCCGCACAATTTCGAACCAAATCCATACAACTTGCCCGATGTTGGACGCAGCGATCTGGATCCACTCGCCGGCGGTATCGGTAATCTGTTCCCTTTTCCACGCAATCCAGGCCCTCCTCGTCCAAACATACCCGGCCAGGGTGCCCCAAATCCCGATCATGCACAGCCGCCAGACTGGAATCCCGATCATTATATGTGACAGCGGGCCAGAGCACAGCCGGGACAATCTTTTGGGAATCACTTCCAAAATCAATAGTTTAATTGGATAATATCACATAATAAAAATTAATTACTTTAGAAACGGGACAGTGGCGGCCAATATCTGAGCTAAATGGACTTTACTACCGATATCTTAAGATTCAAATTGCTTAGAAGCGATTAATAATGTGGTCTGATGGAACAAATACTTGACATAATTATCTAACTAGGTTAGGGGTGCGATTTTGATTATGAAATCGGACACGTTTATAAATGTTTTGATGAATAGATTGTAGATAATACAACTTCGGAGCAGTCCAGAGAGGGAGAGAGAGAGAAAAAGTCGTCGTAATTCTCGCTTTTCAGTTGTTTAGCTTTCTGTTGCTGGAATGCAGCAGAGAACAAAAGATCTAAGCCCATGCGAACTCTCTTCTACTTAAGCATATATATATATGTATATATATATATGACTCAATTTAATAGTTGGTTCGATTGAGGGTTCGAATCGACTGCCTGCTCTGAGGTTCAGTTCGTGAACCAGCTCTTCCACATCAAATGTTCACATGTTATCATAATCAAAAAAAAAAAAAAATAAAAATATAAGGCAAGGCTAAATTTGATCTGTACCCAAATTTGACTTCTACCCAAAATGGATATATACAATTATGCAATAATGGGGGTCTTAGCTATTTATACCTAAATGCAGAGTCTTCCTCAAAAGTCTCTCTTTCCAATTCGTTTGGTTCTGGTTTCGGTTCGGGCTTTTGTTATTGGGCATGGAAAGTTTTAAGGTTCGGCTCTAAAAAAGAAAGATTTTGGATCGGAGCCGGCTCAAAACTGGTAATATGTATACTCTTGCATTTATTAAGTAATTATGATTAGTAATTAATAATAATAGTAATTATGGTAATTATTATTAGAGATGATTAATCTCAACTCTCAAAAGTTAGCAATTTATTCTTAACTAATCGTTCCCCTAACTAGCCTAACTCCCACGGCCTGATTCACACCTGGCTCGGTTACAAAACAAATGATTGTTAAATGTTTCTCTTCTCTCGGAAGAGCTAGCGCTCTGACACTTCCTCACTTCGATGCTGTGCTGCTGCTCCGCTGTCGGTGTCGGCGGCGGCGTCGGCGTCGGCTGCTCCCAACGACGCTTGGCCAGTGCAAGAGCGACAGTTGAGCGCGAGCGACGCGCCTGTCCAGTTCGTAGTCGGATCGGCCATGCTACGTGTTGTCGTCGTGTTATCTGCGCTGCTTTGGCTCTGTTTAAGCAGGTGCTGCTGCGGCTATTACAGCCTCCAGGGTGCGTACTCTCAATCCCAACCGAGGCCCCGCCCCCCCTTTATGTGTGTGTGCTTTGATATTGCAGTGGCTGATTCCTGTCCGACACGTGGATATCTAAGCAGCTGCCAGCCAGCCGACCAGTGCTCGACGCTGGCACAGTTCATCGAAAGTGGCCGGCTGTCGGCCGATGCGGTGCTTAACTGTGGCTATACCACGACCGGGGAGAAGATTTGCTGTCCCCGCAAAGAAGGCAACAGCACGAATCTGCGCTTCTCAGCCAGCGAAAGCAGAGACAACGATACCCAAGCCACGACGCCGTCCTGGCTGAACATATTTAGGACCGATCGAGAGTATTTGGTGACCACGCCAGCGCCAGTTAGTTCGTCAAGCATCGTATTTCCGGACAGAGTCACAGGGACGGGCGCCGCCTGCCAGACGCCGCTCTACCAGGGCAAATGTGAGGCCGTTTCCGATTGCCAGAGCCTGGTGCCGCTGCTGCAGCAGCGCCGGCTGCGCGATGAGGATGTGCAAACATGTCGCGACGGGACCATCGAGGAGATCATTTGCTGTCCCACCAATCTGCCGCTGCACGCGATTGGCCAGGTGGGCGCTGAAACGCGTTTGGGCACAACTGCTGACGATGATGCGGCGGCCATAGCCAAGGCCGTGGAGCTGTTGCCGCATTACACGCATCTGGCTGCGCTGGCGTATCCGAATGCCGCCTTCGATGGACATGTGCATCGTTGCACGGCGTTAACCCTGACGCCGCAGTTGCTGCTCAGCGCCGCCGGCTGTGGGCATGCCAGTCATGCGGTCTTTGGTGTGGCGGATATGCGCGATGTGGACGAAGATGAGGACTATCTGGTTGATATTACAGTAAGTAGCTCCTCTCTCTTTCTCTCGCTTTCTCTCTCTCACTGTCTCTTCCCTCTCGCTCTTGCTCATGTGCTGTTCCTCTGCTTTGGCAGCGCGTGGATACGTATCGTCAGGACTTGGCGCTGCTGCGCTTGGCCCAGCCAATGCCACTGGATCAGCCGAAGGCTCCGCATGCCACTCTGGCCCCCATTTGCAGCCAGTTCGAACTGACGCGCCTCCAGGTCAGCGGACAGCTACTGGCCAGCGCGTGGGGCATGGGCAATGGTAAGGCTTGACCTTCACACTACTGACTCCAATTCTGAATGCCTTCATCTTCTTCTTCTACTACTTCTACTGCTGCTCCTGCTCCTCCTCTAGGCAGCGATTGTCCGCTCTATGAGCTGCCCATGCGCCTGCTGAGCTCGGACGCGTGCAGGGACATTGGCAAATTGTCTGCGGTTCAGGATTTGCCGTCGTCGCATCTGTGCCTGGCGCCACGTGATGTCGCCGCGCTGAGCGCCAGCAATGCCAATTCATGTGCTCCATGTCCGGCTGTTGTTGGCAGCGTGCTCCATTTGCGTCGTCCCAGCGGCAGCCGTTGTGTGCTGGCCATTGCCACGCCCACGGGCGGCAAATGCAATGCAGAGGCAATGTATTTTACGAGTCTGCTGGATACACGGCTCGTGCACTTTGTCGAGCAGCAGCAACAACAATACCAACAACAACAACAACAGCAGCAGAAGAGACAGCCAAGGATGCCAAAATGAATTCGATTTTAACGTGTTTCCACTGCACTGCAGCCAGAAGCTGCTTTCCAAATGTGATTAGTTTATTCGTTAGCGTATAATATATATATATTATATTATATTATATTATTAAGTCTAAGAAAACGTACATTTTGTATGTGTACTTGTAGCATATTCAGATGTAGACACTTATAAATTATATACAAACTGGTTTCCAGTGCATTGCTAGTTCAAGCAATAACAATAATTGCTGGTCCCTCTAACTACTGATAAACTCTCTTCTTTTCTTTTCAGAAAAAAAAAAAATTTTGGAAAATACTAAAAAGAACACAAACTTAAGTTATTTTCATAATATGAGTGATTCTCATGGAATGTTGATCCGTTTTAATTTTTTAAATATCAATATAGTATAGATATATAGATATAGATGCAAATATTATTCTCCCACAGTCCGAATGAACTTCGGTGTTGTTAAAGCTTGAGACTTGAAGCTCGTGTATCAAAGCTAGTGTTAGGATTACATGACTAAGTTGAACATCGAAAAATCATTCTCATCTACAGTCCTAGAGCTAGCATAATCATATTTGGAATGCAGACAGCTGATGAGCTTCTCTAAAGAACTATCAAAACGCAGAGCCTTGCATTAGCAGCAAGAAGTTGCTAAACAGTGGGTAAACAACGTTTTGTATATTTTCTATGCATGTACATACATTTATATGTATATGTATATTTTTTTTTTTGTTTTTTTTTTTTGATTACGTTAAAAAAATACAAAATTCATCAATTGCGAATTGTTGCCAAAATATTATGAGCCGAGACTTTGGGCAAAGACCCACAATAAACTTTTTGATTCAATTCCATGCCGCTCTCTGAATTCGACTCAAACTCTCGCCGTGTATTTCCCTTGAATCACATTATTTCTATATTTTTTTATTTTTTATTTTAGCTGCTGTTTACTTATGAGCTTATGACCAGCGGCTCGTGAATACCTGTAGCTGCGCTCAGTTGCGTATTTTGATTCTGTGAAATGCTTAAAGCTAAAACCGGTTCGACACACAGCACGGTCAAGACACAAGAGGAACAACAACAATGAGAACAAACAACAAGAGTGCTCGAGTCGGGAGTGTCCGACTGAAAGGTACCCTTTACCCAGATCCGTTACAAACATTCTAGTTATGGGAAATGCATTCTTGAATAACATCGTTGCTTAAAGTCTAATTCTTATAAAACTTTTGGGTGGTAGAGCACAAGGATGTGTGCATATGCCAAAGCGCTAGAATTTCAATTTTGTGGGCCATGGAGGAGGTATCCAAAATGTAATATACATATGTTACTCTTGATCTGCTTATACCATTCGTGTAAATACGTACCAAATTTGATGTACTTAGCTCTTCAACTTCTTTAGCTTTGCCTATAAAATAATATCTTGAGATCGATATCTATTGATATTTTGGAAATGGCAAGTATATGTATATTCTTGATCTGTGTTTGACATCCGAGTATCTACATACCTATCTTGTTAAACATAGCTCTTAAATTTTTCAAGCTATGCTTAGGCCATGTCTTCAAATGAAAGATATCGTAAAAAATAATCTTATGTCTAGATCAACTAAGCCCTTCGTGTTATTCATTCATTCTGTCTGTTACATGCGCTAGCACCCAGTTGGTATACCCTCTTGAGCCATTTTGAGCGTGTTCAGGGTGTATAAACAACCGCTTGGCCACGGTCTCAGCTCTCTGGCTATGGCCACCGCTCCAGCTATGTGCGTTGTAGGGTTCTAATCTCAGCTTCAGTTGGCAAAGCGACGCGTTGCTGTGAGGTAGCCCGTAGCCACAGCCCCAGTCCCACGAATCGGTGCTCCACACACACACACACACACACTCAGAGAGCCGATAAGAGCCGTGCTCTGTGTTTCCGTACAGCGCCTGGCACCGGTTTCCATTATTTTTTGCTTTTTATTTTAGTTCCAGTTTGATTTTGCTATATTTATTTTGTTTTAATTTTTTGTTTGCCTTGTGCTGTTTAAATTAAAGTGTTGCAAAAAATAAGACAATATAACGAGTGTATATTTAAAATTACATTAAAACATCACAACAACAAAAACAACAAGAAAAGGAACCGAGTGCAGTTGGTTTATTTGTTTGATTTGTTGTTATCAAAACAAAAGGCTTAAAACTTGCGTGTGTCAAAGGTTCGTCTGATAATAACCAGCAACAATAACAAGAACAACAACTGTAACAACAACAATAATAATAATAGTTATCATAATTATCAAAATAATATGAAAACACGAGAAATGTAGTGCATTGCAGTGATATAGTCTGGCATGGTTTTTATTCATGTTAATTACACGTTGGCCCACAATAACATGCATTTAACAAGTACAGTGATGCCTGACTATAAATGCATGCGGCACATTTTCAACAATATTCAGTCCAAACCAACTGACAATTCATACAGTTGTTAAACTCTTATTTAACTAACTATAAACACAATTCATGAGAGATCATCTCAAGTGAAGTCTGCCACAGCGCCCTTTGTTCTGACATCGTAAAAGCTTGTCCAACTTAGCGTAGTAAAATTGGAATATATATATATTTGTATAGATCACACATAAGGGTCTCAAAGCTTGAATAAGTGCAAACAAAGAAAATACCTTATACCAATATGAGCCTGTCCAGAACTATAAATTATATATATATAAACAAACAATATACCTTATAACAATATGGGCCGGTCCAGAATGTAAGGTTGGGATATATTTTTTAAGCTATATATAAACAATCAGGGTATATTGACCAATATTTCAGTCCAGAACGTAAAGTAGAGCAGGGATGTGTTTTTAATTTTAGTATATATACTCAAATAAACCAAGGTCCGTTCGGTTCGGTTCACGGTTCATGGTGCACATGAAACTAGGTGCGGGTTCGAGCCTTGGCTCGCGACATATTTTACACTCCTCAATAGAGAATTTCATATATTGTATTTGAACAATTATAAATATTATTAATATTAATATTAATGTTATTATTTTTACTACTTGTAAAATATTTTTATAGCTGGTTTTGGCAAGCTTTCCATTTTAAAATATTTTTGTTTAAAGTGATAAGGAAATATTTTCATAATCAATTATTCAAATTAAATTATAATACATATAATATACAATGTTTCATATTATTTGCGATTATTCAAATACAAATAAAGTAATATATGTCATATAAATCAAATAATAATCTGCTTAAAGAAAGATTCGGTTCAGCTCTAGCTGCGTTTGCTCTTAAGTCAGCTAATCCTGGATAAGATTCGCTATTTTTGGCAAAAAAAAAATATCTGTATTCCGCTTACGTTTCAAAATCGGCTGCACCTTGAAAAGAACTCACGTTTATGCCATGAAATTATTGAATTTCTTCATTTTAATTTTGTGTAAGGAAAATTGCATCACACTTTTCAATTGTCTTTGCGGCACCATCAGTTATGAAACTTGAAAGATAACTAAGAACACAGAATTTGCCAGTTTATATAATGGGAGCTCAAGAAACAACGCTGATATGAAAGATAATTTGTTAATTTGCTGAGGCTTGTACTACAAATGTAGAACATTTAGGTATATCTGTGCAGCCAAACGATTGTTAGATAAACCATTGAACAATGTGGTACGAATTTGCAGATGTTATTGGGAAAAAAGGCTGGAAAGTTTTTGCTTTGCCTTTGCCTGAAATATGCAGGTAATCTTATGGAGACGACGAGCTATAGAGTTCAATGAGCTGGAGTCGCCCAGAAACCTGTTGATCGGAAACTATAGTGAAAGGTCTGAAAAAGTACCATGAATCACAGCCATACGTTAACATTTAGCGGACTATCTCATGTGGCCCTCAGCTGATTTGGGAAATTTCCACGGGGCTATCAAATATAGCAAACAAATAGAATGTGTGCTAGGGCTTTATGCTGGGCTTCAATCGGGTTTTCCAGTTGCCATTGATCTGATGACGGGACTTACGTATGCCAGAATTCAATTGATATATAGGTCAATGACAGGTTCATTATTATCAGCAAAGCTGCGTTCCAAATGAAACACACAACAAAGAAGAAATCTCTTTTGAGTGTCATATAAAATAAATCATTCGAAATACCTCAAGAGCCACTCAAATCGAAAACTGAGCACAAACAGTCATTTATATTCTGTACTATTTTTTCTGCTATCTGTGAAACAAGTACTATTCAAAAGTAATTAGCCTACTTTACTCAATAAAAAATAACACTAATATGCAAAGGCATTTCTATTTGTGAATATGTGTGTTGATAACAAATATGCTGCAATTAGTTGCTGGAAATACGAATTTAAAAAATATATTTCGCATTCTATGAGATTTTAAATACCTAAACTGACTTTTTTGGTCCTAATGTCTTAATGGAATTTTTAAATTTGTTAAATATTTGTGCACTTAATTTATTAAACTAGAAGTTATTTTCCTATTAAGATCGATGGCATCGGACTTAGCCTATATTGGCATTTTAATCCGAATCAGCCCCTGGATCATGGCTTAGAAAAGACTGAAAGGAAAAAATAAATGAGAAAATACAGTTTTTTAAATTATTTTTATTTTTTATTTCTGCCTTTCTATGCGATTCTCATGGTCACAGTACTGTGTTCATTTAAGGATTCGTATTATACCTTACACGAAATTTTTCTTACTTATTTGATTATCAAAATCTACAGTTCGTCTCTAATAAGTTGATATTAATTAAAATAAAACTTATCTAAATACGTAAAATATTGTAATTAATAGAAATATATATAAAAGCCAGTATTTCAAATCGATATGCAATGTGTTGTAAGATGCACGGACGAGCCAGCTTTAAACAGGCTGAGACTTACTCAGGCCCATCATAGTTAACAAATAAGAGCTATGCGTTATGGCCCATGATAGGACTGGTCAAAGAGATTTATAGAGCTGTTTCCAATGAGAGGCACAACAAATCCAAGAGATGGCAGTGCACTTATTTCTCACAATTAATAATAACAATTGATAATAAGCTGTGACTATTTGCAGGCCGTCCAATTTTTTGCTCTCATCATTCAAAGACATACTAATCATTTATTTAATATTTGACAGGCACAGCCGATATTTTTTTTTGGTACATTATCTTGCGTAAGGGCGTCCTAAAGATTTTTTTTAGGTATGCATAAACTTCCTTTCTATTCTTTGACTCTCTATCTCACGACCTTTCGCTCTTTCACTTGCTCGCTCTCTTTCTCTCGCTCTCTCTCTCTCCCTCTCTCTCCCTCTCTTGCGCTCTAACATTCTTAGTTATTCTGGCGTTGTTACTCTTCCTCTGTCCCTATTTTTCCGTTCTTTTTTTAGTCTGGTTCTTGCTTACGCTGACTTGCTTTTTAACCGCCTTTCTATGTGATTTTCATAGAACCAAGTTGGTTAAAGCCGTTTCTCTTTTTATTGACTATGAAAATAAATAAAATATTAATTATATTGATTTTATTGACGAAAACTTAATTGCAGTACCTGTCTCGCAGTGTGGATATCCTTCAAAATCGATCTGTGAATGGTGATCATGGCGCTGGCCTGGTCCAGTAACATGAGTGCCCGTCGCCATGGCTTAAGTTTCAGTCTCGCCTCCTGCCGCCTGCTGCTTTGTGGCTTAATTCTGTGTGCGGTTTCACATTTGGAGGCCCGCGAAGGTCTGTATTTGGCTGGTTTGGTTTTTTTTTTGGGTATTCGCATTGACCATATCTTTGTTGCAGAAGGCGATGCATGTATGGTGAAAGAGAATCTGCCGGGAGTTTGTCAGACTTCATCCAAGTGCGAGCCACGAATTGACAAATATATCAAAACGGGCAAGTTGACCGTTGACAAGGTGCCCAGCTGCGGCCTGGGCCCGTACGAGGAGATTGTCTGCTGTCCGACTATCGACTGCTGCGAGGAGGATAAGGGGTAAGAGTGGATGGAGAATTTAAAAAGGGAGTCCGTTTTGTTGCTTTTGTTATTGTGCCCACCCCCAAGCTATGTGCCAATTGTTGTTGTTGTCGCTGCATGCTCCATACCGTTGGCTAGTCAAGAAACTGGCGTCTAACATAATTCATCTGATTTACGTGCAGCCCAAGCCAGGTCCCAGACACCAGAACCACAACTAGCTCCACAACAACCACCACAAGAGCTCCGCTGACCACGCCGAGAGCATCGAAATCGAAGCTGGATGAGGATTCGGCCTATTTTGACTTTCAGCAGCTGATCAATAACAAGCCAAATACACAGCCACAGCCAAATGCACAGCCACAGCCACAGCCTGCGGAAACTCCGTTCCAGAGGCAGCTCAAGCCCCTAAACCCATTGGAGCCCAATGTGCCAGTGATAACCCATGAAGCCATGCGAGAGCAGCCAAGATTCCAACTCAGTCAACAGCCCATTGGGCCGGAGGGCAGGGGTCAGTTTCAGGATGTGGGACCCTGGGGACAGGCGCTTGCCATGGACAGGGAGCCAAAGATCATTAACAGACCGCTGTCGTGGAGGCCGCAGCAGAGACCAGGCCGAAGACCAGTCCCAGTGCGAATCCCATCACCAGACCCGCGACAAATGCCAGCTGCTCAGCCACAGGATCTAATACAACTGGTCAATCAGCGGCTACGTCAGCAGGGCATGAACATTGTGCCCGCCACTCAGGTGGTCACATTTGAGTTGCCCAGGGAGCCGCTGACGATGACGACGACGACCACGACGACCACCGCGCGTCCAGCTGTTGTAACAGTCCCCAATGTGGATTTAGATCCCTGGGCACCATTCCGCTTCCGGGAAAGACCCCTCGATGAGGTCGAAACGAATGAGCTGGGTAACGGCGATGCTGCACCATTTGGGTTTGTCACAGCTGAAGCATTCACATCAATTGGCCCTAGCCTCCATCATGCGTAGCCATCAAAGAGCAGCCACCAAAACTAATCTCGAACCATTTATCTATTTCCAGGCCGGAGACCACGACGATACGAACTATTCAAGCCACGCCCACCACTCGAGTAGATGTATCCGAGCAGGAGCGACCAGCTGTGCGAGGTGAGTATGTAGGGTGATTGACCTACTGACTGACTGACTTACTGATTGACTAACTGAATGACTGGCTGATTGAGTGACAGGCTGATTGAATGACTGACTGACTGACTAATCTGACGGAATCTTGTCTGCACGGTTAGTTGGGGCTTTATTTTATCCGCAACTGTGGAAAATTTCTGGAAAATATTTGGTTAAAACCTTTTAGTGTTCATTTCCTTGGGTGTATTCAATAAGTGATGATATGTATATACATGTATTATTTCCGATAACTATTTTTAAAGATCTTCATGAAAATTAATTTGAGACGCGTTGCGACAAACATCTCGTGAAAATCACTTTGGGTAAAAAATGATTATAAGATGTTTCGTAAACAAAAGTTAATATTTTGTATTTCAACTATTTTAGCACACTACAGAAATAACAGAAATTATATAAATTTGTGTATTCTTGATTAGCATCAACAGCAGGAATCAACTGGCTCGAACTATTATATCGTATACCTGAACTTGGAAGGATCGATTTAAAATTTTGTTTTAATTTCTCATTTCGCATTTCTCTATTTCGAAAGTGAGTAGTAGATCGGGTTAGGTTGTATTGGACTGACTGATTGGGGAATTGGTAATGGGCACTTTCTAAGTCTTCATTTGATAAATTGCTTCGATTGTATTATGCAGCTTGTCGCTTGTTTGAGGAGCTCCAAAAGGAACGCCAAAGGGAGGGCCAAAAGGAGGCCTTAACGCTCCATATACTGGACGGTATTCCGGTGGAGCCTGGTGTATATCCGCACATGGCGGCAATTGCGTTTAGTAACTTTGGCACCTTTGTCTATCGTTGCGGCGGTTCGCTGATCTCAAATCGCCATGTCCTGACGGCTGCCCATTGCTTCAATGAGGATTTGCCCGTTCATGCTCGCCTGGGAACGGTGGATATCGAACAATTGGGCGAATTTTATCAAGACATTGCCATTAAGGTAAGTGAATTTAAGTGCCCGTTCAATCAAACGCAATAATAATACCAGATTCGATTCTCTTGGGCAGGAAAACATTGCCATACATCCGGAATATGTGAGCACCAGCAAGTACAATGATATTGCCATACTTGAGCTGGTTGAGGAGCCCAGGCTGAGTCTATATATCTCCCCGGCGTGCTTGGAAACGAATCTGTTCGATCCTCCAGAAACTGCACAGCTCTTTGTTGCCGGCTGGGGCACCATGAATCAGACCAGTAAATAGTCAATCGAAGCTCACGCAACTAACCAACTCACCCAACTCTCTCCATATAGCTCGACGCCAATCGAAAATATTGCTGCGTGCACCCCTCAATACTGTTCCATTGGATCAGTGCAATGTCAGCTTTTCCCAGCAGCCGAATACGAAGCGCTTCCTAAAGGAGGGCGTCATTGGGTCGCTGTTTTGTGCGGCGGACAGGAAATTCAAGAAGGCGGATGCCTGCCAGGGTGACTCCGGTGGTCCGCTGATGCTGGAACGGGATATTGTGAACAACAAGTATAGCATTGTGGGCATCATATCGTCAGGCTTCGGCTGTGCAACCAAGACCCCGGGACTGTACACACGTGTCGCCTCCTATTTGGGATTCATCGAGCAGATCGTGTGGCCCAATAATGTTGTTTAACCAATTACTGATAAGCAAGTCGATTTTAAATACAAATCTCAACAAGTTTTACTCTAATAGCTTAAGAGTTTGACCAATCTCTTAAAGTAAGTTTTAAGATCCGTATGACGCTCAATTAAGACACATGAACTGACAGACGGAAATTAAGTATACGATTTTTTAAATAATTTACCGCCTATTGTAGAAGCTTTCATAATTCTGTCATACTATGTGTAGCGTGTTAATTTGTTTTTACAGATATATTTACCATATGGGAGTTCCTTTAACGTATCTTTTAAGTCGTAGCACATCGTACTACTCTATAATGAGGTTTCTGCAGAAGCAATCGTTGTTTTGCATGGTATTACTTCTATCTATATCTGTTGACGTTCCTCAATTAACTTTTAATTCCAAACTGGGTTATTTGTATTTAAAATTAATTTATTCGTTTGCTTGTCTGGTTCCAAAATCGCGTTGGTTCTTTTCAGTTCTCTGGTTCCGTTTCAGCATCTATCCCTGCTGGTACTCTATGCGGTCTATGTCATCCACTCGCCTACGTAAACAGAGCAGCAGCATGAGCGATGCTACTGTCAGACATGTAAGCTCTCTCTCTCTCTCTCTCTCTCTCTCTTGCGCTCTCTCTCTCTTGCGCTCTCTCTCTCTTTCGCTCTCTCAATCACTCTCTGACAGCTGCGCTCTATCGGATTATAGCATTGCCAGATGCAAGAAGCAGGATGGCAAACGCTTTAAGCTTTCGCTTTACAGAGCTTTTGAACAAAACAGCAGTTGTTTAACCGTTACAAATCGCCGCTGCCGGCAAGCAGCTGCTGCTATTGTCAGCTCCTTTTGCTTGGGTCGCCCAGCCCAGCAGGCCTGCAATCGCCGCCACCCCATCTCCCCGTTCCACTCTTTCACTGTTCCACTGTCTCTGCCGCCTCTCGTCGCAGCGCGCCCGCTGCCAACACACACGCATTTCGTAGAGGCAACAACTGTTTCAGCTGCTTCTTAAATGCTGCTGCTGGCGCTGTGGGCGCCTCAGTTGGTCGCGGGACTGCGTTGCCGTTAGTTCGTGCCCAGCATTTAGGAAGCGAGGAACAGCAACAGCCTTTGGGACTGTTACTTCAATATTTTTTTTTTTCAAGTGTTTTTTGTCACTGTTGTTATTGTAGTTGCGCTCGTTGTTGTCGCTGTTGCCGTTGCTGTTGCGCCGTGCAGCATGCAACGCTTTTGGCGCGCCTAGTTTGAAATTTTGTTAACACTTGCAAATTGTGCGCTCAGTGGCTATCAAATGTAAGTTTCTGCTCTGTGTTTATTTATTTATTTGTTAGTTCGTTGTTAACTGTGCTTGTTACACACATAGCGCTTATCAGCGCCACATATTGACGCATTAATCACAAGCTGGGAAATTGTTTTCAATTGTACATCTGCTGCGGCCCATTGTTGCGGATAAGCATCGAAAGCAATAAAAAAAAAAAACCAAAAAGTAGAAAACATATATAAATAAAATAAAACTAAAACAGAAAAACAAAAAATGTCCAGTAGCCTGGTCACATTTGCATCAAAGGGCAACGTGTGCTGCGATAAGAACCGTAGACAACAGGTGCTCGCTGTTCGGTAACTTAAATATAATATTGCTTTATATTTATTGTATTCGCTGCAAGTTATTTGATTTAAACTTTTTGTGACCAAACTATTTGAATACAAGTTTATTTGCTGTGATTTGGTGAAACTTTTCTTGTGTTTCTTTCATATTTTGGGGCTGTACCTGCCGTAGCTCCTGGATTTGTGTGTGTTTTAATTAAAACATAACCGATCTGGTTTTTTGTCTTTTTCAAATATATTTTGATAATCCTCGAGATTCAGCATTGGGACAGATCCGAGAACTTTAAAAACTCTCTAGTTCTTGAGAAAACTTTTTTAAGCAACTTTAACTCTAACTTTAATTGAAAAAGAAACTAATAGATCAGTTGATTTGATCTTTTGATCCGAGCTGGCGCTATTGATTTATATATTATTTAATTGCTTTTCGAAAGTTTTTAACAAAAACAAACTTATCTAACTGTAAACCCAAAATCCGTTCATGCATTGCATATTTTGCTTGATTTTCGCGTTTGTCTCGTATTTTTATGAGTTATTTTATTGCTGTTCTTAAACAATTTTTCTTTTATTGTTTTATAATTTTAATGAGCGGCGGGACAACGTCGACCGATCAGATAAATGTAATTTTTTTTCTTTATTTTTTTTTAGCATTTATAATTTTAATGAGAAGTGAAATTAAATTGATTTGCAGACTCTTTTTCTGCCAACTTTAAATTGTTTTTTGTTCCCTTTTTTTGAATTTTTATTTTTTTTTAGATTGTAAATTCGATCTGTTCCTTTATTTAATTCGGGCTTGCGCCCAGCTTAAGGCTCTTAAAAAGGAGGCAGACTAACTAGGCTCTTAGGAAAAGATAACCGCTTGAATTCCAATTGGAATTGTTAATTATAGGCTCTATTTATATCTAGAATTGATTGCAGCACTTCAGTTGAGAATTCGAAATATAGCCATAAAACAATAAATATCATATTAATTAATATAAAATAAGAATGAACAATGAAAACAATTTCTTTAAGCTAGCTATAAATCAACTTTAGGTTTATTTATTTGCGGCATTGTTGCTGTAATAATAGCCATAGAGACTTGCCATTAAACTGACAGCATGTTTAACTGGCTTATCACTCAAGTTGGTTGACAATGCAATATTTGTGTTCCGGTTGATAAATTGCCATCGATGCGACAATTTTCACGCTCAACCGGCCAATCAATTAGAAGTTATCAAGTGAATTTTAAAGCAATTTATTAGTCGGTTTTGGGCTGGAAATTGGAGAGAGTGTGGTTAACTGTTGCTGCCGTCTGCCGACTGCTGACTGCTACTGCTACTGCTGACTGCTGGCTGCTGCTCATGTGTGTCTGGGGTACGTGGGTGTCCTTCGAATATTGCCGACGGCGTTCGGTTAGAAAATGTGGCTATAAATGTGACACTAAGTTAATAAATTTATGGCCCAAACACACCCAGCTGATATGGTGTGTGAGTGTTAGTGTGTGTGTTGTGGTCTGCTGCTAATTTTCCTGTGTGTGTGTGTTTGTGTGTGTGTGTGTGGCGGCTATGACACGACAGCGCTGCGGACATCAGCAAGGCGGATGCCAAAAAGTCGAGAATTGTGTGTGTTGTTGGCATATTAATAATATTTTTATTGGCCGCTTATTTGCCTTTTGCGGCCAAGCTGCACGTTTGTGTGTGAGTGCGTGTGTGTGTGTGTGTGTGTGCTAAATACTGTACTAATTTGAGCTGACAAATACAATCGCCCACAAGTTGTGACCTCTTTTAATTAATAAATATACGCGCAGATAACGCCAAAAAAAAGAAGAAGAAACAAAAAATTAATAATATTCATTCACAAGCACAAAATCAATTTTCGCCATTTTATTTACCTTATTTTCTCCTTGCCTTTGTTGTCTTTTGTTCACTTAAATTAAAAACAAAAGTTGAGGCAGGTCGCAGCTGTGTCGCTGTCAGCTAAAACAAATTGAAGCCATTTTTCTATATTTATACAATATTTACGCACATCACATTTGAAAGCTAGCGACAACAAACGATCCCATTGAATATTCATGTGACAAACAAAAAATAATGTTTGACTGAAAGCAATCACAGGTGCTCGCGTTTGGTCGGACAAATTGCATATAAATATTCATAATTTATTGATAATTTATTTTATATGGAAACAACAACCATCTGGCTGAGTGTAGTCGTGTAGCTGATTTACCCATTTTCAAAATAATTTTGGATCGTTAACTGGAGCGTTTCTACATGGCCAATCAGCCATAAGATTGGGTTATATAGATTTGGCACGATTCGCCATGCTTCCAACAGCTTAAGACCATATCTGATGCACGAATATATTGAAGTCGTATATTCAAAGTTAAAATAACAACGAGGTTCTTACTCAATATACCCCTTACGTGAACATATATTAAAATAAGTCTATTGCGGCTGTGCGCTGAAAAGTATGCTATACTTTTGAGACAAATAAATATCTTTTGAGGCGGGAGCTTCACGAGTTAATAGCGCGCAATTTTAATACACTTTCATTAGGAGGAAGAGATTATATGGACTTTGTTTAATGTGCGTTCGGCTGACCATCCGATTATGGGGCGTGGCAAATCGGCATAATTCATATCGCTTATTAAATCTGGCGGACAGAGGGCTTTAAGCTGTTATTGACCTGTGAACGCGTATTACACGGCCGTGTGCACTCGACTGCAACATTCTTATTTGTTTCATTTAATTTAATTTTATTTTTTTGCAATTATTTTCGCAAAGCTTACCGCAAACTTTAAACAAAGCCCGCATTGCTCATAACGAAATGAATGTATTAAACAGCTTAATGCAGCGATTACTGATTTCCTATGGCATCAATAACATATTTGTATGTATATGTATATGTGTGTATGGCGCAATTAGTATGATGCTCAATATTTAAGTTGACTTTGGGCTCAGTGTCACAGCATTAAAGTATCGAGGTGTTAATAGCTTAACTGTGTTTAAAAAAAAGAAGAGCTATGCCGTATAAAACGTTCTGGAGTATATATTATCACACAAAGGGACCTGTTATTATCCTGATAACCAGTTATCAGCCATCGAATCCTTGTTACGCATGTCAGTGAAACTGTCGCTTCGTTCGTCTCAGTTTAAAACTTGGTAGAGATGCATTTGCCAAACTCGCATAACTGCCAAATGAGTCAAACATATAGTCGATGTCTAGCTTTGTCGGCCCAAAGAACTCAGTTTCTTTTTCTCTCCCCGATTTCAAGCAGTTTTACATATATTTAATTTAATTTAAAGACAAATAGTTGCAATTCCTCTCGGAAATTTTAGTAAGATTGTCAGCCCAGCAGACAAAGAAAATGGTAGGAATGTAATCGACTTATTGCTGTTCATTGGATTATCTGCAATAGATTGTTTTTTAATTCTCACACGATGCCACACCAGCAGTTGCCTTCCAGTTTTGGCGCTCTGCCCGCTCCCTGCTCCTCTAGCTGCATTACAAACATTGTGACAAATTAATAGTTCCATCTGGACAAGGACGCAACGACGAAGTCGACCTGTGCTATA